AATATTATAATAATATTATATAAATTCTATATTTAATAATATATATAACAATATATACATACATTAGATATTGTATGATATTTTATATCTGAATAATTATTAAGATATAAATTTGATATCATTTCGCGCCGTTAATTCCTTTATCTGTCATTAGATACAAAAAAAATTGTGTATTAAGCTATTATTTTTGTGTTTCAATATAGCTATTATAAAATCTAGTATTGCATAAATAATCATATAGTTTATTATATAATGTATTCAATTGTAAAATGTAAAAAAAGTTTATATCAATAATTATTTATGTTTTCTAAATGTATTTCTATATATAATTTATCTATATTAACATTTATACGATGACTGTTTTTTAAATACATAAAATATATTTATATTTAAATATACTAAAACATCATAATTTATCATTTTTTTATAAATTAAATTTGCCTTAAGTTACATTAAAACACCAAAAATATTAGTCATTTTATCATCATTTACATTACATTATACTGTATATATATATTACACTATTTTAGTATATTAAATATTTATTAAAGTAATCATAAGGATCCACATTTATTATTAAATAAAAACTTAGTATAATAATGCCTTTAAATGCTAAAAATCATAATTTTGTCATTATTTTTATATAAATTATTTAATTAGTTATATTAGTAAAAATATTAAATGTTAATTTTTAAAGTATTTGATAATTAAAAATAAAACAAATTAGTCTCATGTTTATTTGAATAAAAAATATGTTGTATAAAATACATTAAAAACATTTAACAAAAAAATATGTGATATTTAATAAAATGTATTGGATTGATATATACATATCATAAATAGAAATATTTAAGTTTTATATTCAACGTATAGATATATTAATAATATTAATAATATAATAGTTTAACTTAAACGTTGACTTATCTTAAATGTCAATATCATTATATATTTTTATTATATTTTTTTATTATTGACTTATATTTTCCTTATGGCTATTAACATAAATTAATGGCCAAATATACAATTTTTAGAAAATTCCTATGAGAATTTTTCTAGAAATTAATCAGAAATATTTATCAAAATATTTTTTTCAATATTAAATTTGATGCGAAATATTTTACAATATTTTTATATTTGATTAACAAATATGGTATAATTAAATTTTATTATTATTATTATTATTATTATTAAAATATATTGTATATATTTATTTAATAAAATTATACATACTGTAAGTATTATGTTCATAATATGTATTTTAATAATAATAATAATAATAATTTTTATATATTCCTAAAATAAATGCATCATATGTTGATTTAATTAAAACTAAAAAATACTGTCACATCAATTTAAATAATGAATATTAAAAAATGTACATTTGATTTTCAAGTAAAATAAATCGATATTTTGCATTTTGCATATTAGTTATCAAAACAACATATTTTTGATTGATTAGTGTATAGTATATATAACATAAATATACTATTGTATTTAGTAATATGATTTTTATTTTAAATTATTTATATTTCATATTATTAAATATTAAACGTGAACTATAGATAAACACACAACTCATATTTTACAAATAATAGATAATATATTGAATATAAAATATATAAATTAAAAATTCTGATATTTATCTTTTGAAACATATACTTGAAATTATTTTATAGCTTATTTAAAAAATTAAAAAATAATTAATAAATAATATAATTTAAGTTACTTTAGTATTAATTAATAATTTTTGAGTCTTTGATTTTAGAGTAATTTTATTTTTAACAATTATCATCATTAACTTAATTATTTTATATTTTGGACAATAAATTATATGTTAATTAAACTTATTATAAAAATAACATTATTTATATTAATATTTTAATTCAATATAAATGCGTTATGTTTATAATATATTTTGACATTTATTAATTTAATATTTATTTATTTATTGTTTTACCTTTTCTATTTTAAATAAAACAAACAATTAAAAATATTTATATAGAAAATAATGTTACTATTATTTATAATTTGTTTAGAAAATAAAGTAGTAGTAATAAAAATATTAGTAATACATTATATAAAAATTAATATTGTTTTATATTTGAATCCAAAAGGTGGTCAAAATGTTATTATTATTAGTGACGGCATTTGCAATATGTTGGACACCTTTGCAGACATTGAATCTGATGTTATGGTTGTTTGATTCCCTCCGTCAAGTGGACGATAGGTTTCATTATTATCTATATTTTGTTATATATTTTTCGTGTCATTGGATCTCCTGTTTGAGTTCAATCATAAATCCAATAATCTATTGCTTTCTCAGCGAAAATTTCAAAGTAAGTTAAATGTAGAAATTTATTGATTAATTATCTAAAAAATACATTTTTTTCTTTAATAATTTATAATTATAAAAATAATGTTATGACACAAATTTACATATTAAGTTATTAAATGCTACACTTATTAAATATTGCTAATAAAAATAATAATTTAAAATTTCACAACAATTAATCTCATTAAATATATGTATTATTTATTTTTGTTTAATAAAATTGAACATTATATGTAAATTAAAAATTATGATAATATTTAAATTTGCATTTTAGGATAATCAGTATATTGCTATACCATACTATAGAGTATATATTATATATAATTTACTTTAATATATATATTAATATTTCATATATAAGTGTTTGTTTTTAAAATAAGTAGAATATTATGTAAAATGTGTGTATTTTTTGATGTTTTAATCTTTAAGATGCAAGTTAACAATATTTTTGTTTATTTATTATACAAAATAAAATAATAATTTATTTTAATATATATATATATAACAGTTACGTGACTTCATAAACATCATGACCTGTAGTGCCAAACGAAAGGCCAAAAGCGAAAGATATCGCAAAACGTTTGGAAACCCGAACTCAATGACAGCTTTCAGACGCAAACAAATTAATGTCAGATTAAATACAAACAATAGTATCTTCAATCCGGAACCCATACCTAACACCGTTTGATTGTTGGCTTAACTGTCAGCTAATTAGACAATTATTTTTCAATTGAAATCATTTATTTATATTATTCACAAGTGTATAATACGGTAGAAATAATTTTTTTTAATTATTTTTTTTAAAGATATTTTTAGGTATTGTAATAAATTGATTGTCATAATTTGTAAATATCTTTTTTTTAAATATAATTCAATATTATTTACTTAACTATATCATTATATACATAAACATTAAAATTTCATTATTATGTAATATAAAGTTTATATATATTTAAATATAAAGATTTTTGATAATTTATATATAAAATTTATATTATTGATATTATCATAATCATACACTAGTTGTATATTAGATACTATAGTTAAATACTACTGTACTTTAATAGAAAATATTATAATATATTAATAATTAAAAAATTTTATCGATTTTTTTTAGTTAACAATAACTTTATTAAATAATAATTAGTATAACTAATATTTGATTGGAATTTTTATAAACATATAACAAATTATAACATAACTAAATAATTATATTACCGATAATTTTTATGTAAAATTTATGGTAATTTTTTTTAATATACTTATATATTATATATTTTTATTAAAAATATAAATTATAATAATTGAATAAAATTATAATAAAATAAACTATTGTTTAATGATTTTTTCAATACTTCGTCGACAATCACGGAGTTTATGGCATAAGTCCTGCAAATGCGGTAACGAAGCGGTCATCAGTAAGCGGTGATCGGCGACAACTATATCGTCATCGCCAACACCACCGGTACCGTCACCGGTGACCACAACATTGCGGTCACAGTTAATGCTAATCGTGTATTGAATTTCTTTGACCTTATCGGCCGCAGACGATTGTAAAACATAAAACTGATCCCATTGTGTGTCAACCACTGATGGCAGAGGTTCGGCCAACAACTGGTTAGTCAGTGTTCGTCTAACTTGCGGCCGAACTGAACGGTAAAACTCAATCAGTCGACAGTAATTCGGGTTAAAGCCGTTGCCGTCGGCGTATTGTTTCGGTTCTCGTAATCCGTTCTCTTCGAGTACGGCCTTCATAGCGTCGGCCGGCGAGTTGTGTTTGCAAAGCTCGATGACCAACGAACAGATGGCCAGCTTTAGTATTTTAAGTTCGGCTTTTTGTTGGCTAACATTGTCGCCGCTGTGATGTCCGCCGCCGACAGTCGTTGCTTCGGTATTATCAGTCAACGCGTGCCGACACTCGTTCAACAATGTCTTCATCTCGTTGTCATCGATAATGTCTTCGGTCTTCAACAGACCTATAGTGTCCATCACTTCCCGACAGATATCCATCACTTAGTGGTCAACAGTTTGTCACAGATTTATACAAAAAACAATCAAAAAAATTATAATCAAATGTTTGACTGATTTTTCAAATGTATTATTGTTTTCAAATGTTTATGACTTATACTTCACTTTTAATACATAAATAACGTTTACATTGAAATCGTTTATAAATTTATTGTAGTTTTTTAAACTTTATTGCAAATAAATTATTTTAAATAATTTTAATACTATATTAAAGTAAATTACAATTTTTGTAAACTTTATGCTGTAATTTAAACTATAAAATTTTTAAATATATTTAAGTACATTATTAAAATTTATTTTACAATTTTACTGAATTGATTGATTTTTATAAAATTATAAAAGATATTATATAAATATTATGATAAATACTAGTTTACAAGTAGTTTAAAGTTTACAATACTAATAAATTATATACATTATAATGCTTAAACTAAATTTAACATTTAATTAAATAATAATATTATTAGTTTTTTTTTAAATGTATAAATCATATATCAATTTGTTTATCACGAAAATAATAAATTTGTGCAAATATATTATTTTATTAAATAACATTAAATAACTTTAAATTTTTATAACTAATGTATACAAATAGTAAAAATATTTTTATATTATTTTTATATAAATAAATATTAATTGTATAAAAATTCAATCAATCATATGATTATTGAAGTAACTTCTGGAGCAATGGTTCCATAGTTTTCTGCCAAACGACATAACCCTCGTGATTGGGATGAAGTTTATCCAAATTGAAGAGTTCGTGTTTGACATCACCGTCCGTTCCCTCGAAGGCCGACCACATGTCCAACCAGAACACGTTCTTCTGATTGTCCAACTTCTTGATCAATGTATTTAGTTCTTTGCATATGTTTCCTAATGGCAGTCCTCGAGGCAATACACCCAACAGTATAACCTTAGTTTCGGGCATTTTAGCCAACAGTTCTCTGACTATCTCTTCTACGCCTTTAGCAATATCTTCGGTGCTTTCCTTAAGTGGTATGTTATTAGTTCCTATAATATTCAAAATTATTATTTTTATAATTATTATAAGCATTAACAGAGCTTTTCATATTAAAAAAACCAAAACTACTAACCAATCATAACGACAGTGACTTTTGGTTTAAGTCCATCAAACTCTTTATTCTGGATTCTGTAGACAACATTTTCGGTGCGATCGCCAGAGATTCCGTAGTTGAATGCATGTCTATTAGCATAGTATTTGGCCCAAACATCCCGGCCCTGACCAAGTGTCCAGAAATCGGTGATTGAGTCGCCAACAAATACGATCTGTTCCTCTGTTTTGTGTATAATTGTCTGGTCGATCAACAGTTTGTGCCGAAGTAACCATTCCGGACCATTGGGTATTGGGTCCCACGGCTTGCCATAGACTTGGATGACAAGTAAAGTAATTAACAAAAATTTAAACATTTTGTTGTTGTTGTTGTCTACTGTTTGATATACTTTTAATTAGTATTTCTAACAAATTATTTATATATAAGTTATATACTTTTTTTATATCAAATTTTCAATGCTATTTTCAATGTATTTATTGATTATTGTAGTTTTACTTATTTTTACTTATTAAAGTATATATCATAAGTTAGTACATTGCATAGTACATGTATATACCGGTATATAATATGATACCTGTATTTATGTGATAATAACAGATATTTTGTTTAATTAGTTCTGATTAGTCAATAATATGGTTTAAAGTGATCAATTTCAAAAAATTGTATTATACTGTATAATATTTTTTAGTAATTCAGGTTATCTTTAGATAATATTTCAAGATAGTTAATATAATAACATATTAAAAATTTATTAATACAATTGTATTTTACTATAATAATGCAAAGTATATAAGAAAATTATCTTATTAATTAATGTCTATTGTTTTTTACTTGTATATTTGTAATTGCTATTAATTAAAACAAATATGAAAATGTACTAAACTATGATAATTTTTTCTACTCATTATTGAATCCAATTAAAATTGAATTATTGAAAAATATAAACAAATTTATTTTGCATTAAGTTTTCTTTTATTTATGTATAAAATTTATTAGTGTCGATGACATAACTAATGTAGAGAGAGAGAGAGAGAGAGAGAGAGAGAGAGAGAGAGAGAGAGAGAGAGAGAGAGAGAGCGGAAACTAATTAATCATAACTTTTATGTGGCGTTAAAACTAATGCAAACTTTTCGGCAAACATTTACAAAACTATTTAGACTTTACACTCTCAGTGTATATGGTGTTGAACTAGTAAAGAGGCGGAACCACATTATTTTCGTAATATATAAATTAAAAAATATATTATAATTTTTAATTAAAAATATTTTAATCTAGCTTTTTTAAAAAAGAATTTTAAATAATTTAAAAACATAAAATAATAATTATTACAGTTTAATAGACAAATTATTAATATAATTTAAGACATATTATTGGGTCCGTCACTGACAAAAAATGCAATCATTCATATTATTTATGAGCACGTGTTGAGTGTTTACTATTTATGCATAATTTGTACGAAAACACTGGTGTTTTAACAGGAAATCTAAGTGTGGGTGTAGTGGTGGGGAGTAATGGGACGTGTGTTTGTGCGATCCTATGCCCCCAATCGACAAAACTATTAATGCTCTGTCCTATCCTATTAGCTAATAAGCTATAAGCGCATACATAGACAATATGCCTTACAATATGCATAAATCAATAGATCAATAGATTTCATAACTTTTTACATAAAAACAATTTAACACAACTATACTTTTAAAGATAAAATGCTTAAATATAAAGAAAAGTGTACTTAAGTATACTTATATGTACTTTTAATTTATATAAAAAATTTAATTACATATAGCAATATAACTATATATTTTCTAATTTTATGTGCAATAATTGATTTACTAATCTGCTTAAGTGCTAACTTGTAATCTCAATTTTACTTATTTTTATTTTTTAAAATAATAAGTTTAAAAAATCCATTTTTGACATTATAATATCTGTATATGTCAATTGTTTTATTATATTATATATATATTTTTTTGTGATAATATTATAATGAATGGCAACAACCAATTACTGACTGTTTTCCGATCAAAAGGTGAGCGCAGATTTGATACACAAATTCAGAGACAAGTGGCCAACGCTCGGGAAAGGGATAGGACTGAGTCGGTCAACAGTGCATTCATTGTATTAAGGAGTCTCATACCTACCGATCCGCCCAATAGGAAACTGTCCAAAATTGAAACATTACGACTGGCCGTTTCATATATTAAACACTTGAATAATGTCAGAAATGCACTGTAAGTATTAATATATTGAAATTAAATACTTAATAGTTGAATATAATAAATATAATAATTTAATTTTTTCTTAGATTTAATGGTGAAGAAAGTGATAACATATGTGTACGAAATGCAAGAATCGGTTCGTTGACCGCAAAAACTATTTGCACTTTTTGTATAACTAATCAAAAGTCAATCGTATGTTTCAAATAATTAACATATAGTTTATTCATTATTTTTTGTTTTGTAAAAATATTTATATTTAAAATAATATATAATCCTAATTTAATTGTATAGTCATATCAACCGTACATCTATGAAACATCTGGATCTACAATAACCTGTTGTGACGACTACTTAATTGCTGAACAATTGGATAAAATTACTGATAATATGTGTGACCAACTGTTTCCACAACTCAATGAATTTGATGTAATCACTGGTTGTGGTGACAGTAATTCATCGCTTAGTTATTTCAATGACTCGTCATCTTCTACTCATTATTGATGTCATATTTAATTTAAATATCTTATTTAAAACTTGAATAATAAGATTTAATCATAAATATGATAATCAAAATAAAAATAATATTCATAATAGTTATAATGTCTATTTAAATTAAAGTTATACAGTTTATACAATATATTGATAAAACATTTTATGGATCAAATTTTAATTGACAATATATACAAAATTTTAGTCAAAATATATAGAGAAATTATTATTTAATTTATATAAATTGAAATTATATAAAATATTACTGATAGCTAAAAATATAATAAATCTGTTTACTAAAAATAATTTGTTTTTTTCAAATAAAATATAATTATTACAGTAATTAAAGCTTTTTTGCTAATATTCTATATGCAATGTATTTAATATAATTGATTGATTAATGCTTTAATTCAAATAACAAAATTTTAGTTATGTTTGGCATTCAGACTATACTATAATTTAATGTCCAATTATGACACATACCATACTTATTGATCTCACCGTCTCATAGGTCTTATAGTCAAAAATAAAATCTATTAATGCATTTGACATACAGTACTATACCATTGAACCACATGAGTCTATATGTAATCAAAAACAGATATTACTGTTTAACATTTTTTAGTATTTATATATCAAATCTAAATTTAACAAAAATTTAATTTTATAATATTAGCAACACATGATCTGTCAGATATATATATATATATATATATATATATATATATATATATCAACAAATATCGCTTATATTATAAACTGACAATTGATTTCACTGTCAAAAATAGGCTCAACATTCACAACTGGTTAAGTATAATATACTATAAATACAGTATAATGTCGATACTAATACTGTTGTTATAATAGATAAAATACACACACATAACAAGTGTGTGATATTACAACTATTATGTGATAATAAATTGAATGTAAGTTACCAAAAAAAATACCAAAATAATGTCTGATTTACTATAATTTAACTTTTATTGTTTTCTTAATATATTTTATTGATTAGTTAACATATATTGATTACAAAATTCATAACTATTAATTATAATAAGTAATTTTATTTATAAACTAAACACTATTTAACAACAACTACAGCAAAATACTACACTACTGATCAATACTATACTAAGTCTTATTTATATTTACTTTATAAGTCCGATGGAAAATATATTTTTTTCATACATTAGAAAGTTAGGTAATGTTGTTGTGGGTGGTCATCAATGTCAAGTATAACATGTAAAAACCGGTATACATTTTTTCTAACGACACATCATTTATCAAATTTTTCGGATATAACTTCATATACACACATATGAAGTCCACTTAATCTTTAATCTAATCAATTGTGTACTTATAATAATCAAAAGTCAAATCTGATTCAAATTGTTTAACAATCATTTTGCGATAATTTATATATATATAAATTCAAATACTCATTGCAATTAATAAACAATTATTTTAATAAAAATATTTTATTTGTTAAATGCAAATGACAAATTAGATAATTATAAATTTATTAATAATATTTTAACGTTTTACAAAATTCTTTTATTTATTTTTTTGTAATTTTTTTTATAGTTATTTTAAGTTATTATTTATTTAATAATCTAAATTTATATACATACTTGAAACATTTAGTTAACTCATCTAAGTTATATAATATATTTACATTATTTACTGTATAATATACAATAATATCTAATTTATATTTATAATCATTTGTATAAAAGTAGACAAAAATAATTTATTTTAGTTAACACATATATTGTTTATTTAGTATAAACTATATTATAATTTATATATATATAGAAAGCACTGTTAACTCTAATACATAGAACATTGATTGGAGTATTGAAGTGCTGTCTAAAAAAAATATTGAAAACATTCATTCAAATCATGATTATTAATGACAATATAAGTGTTGTTTTGTATTATATATTTGGTTATGATTTTTATATATAGTATTGTATTGCTTATACATGTATTATTAGCTAATTATTATTTTGTAAAATGCACAAGTTCAATAATTAATTTAATTCAAAGTTAAAATTTATGTTTATTATTTTTTAAAAAAGATATCAATGATTATAATTACACAACTATTATAAAGCTTAATAAAAATATTATAATATACTGTTAAGTAATGAACACATAAAAAGAAATTGCTTAACAGTTAAAGTCTATCGTTTATCTTAAGTGTCAAAAACATACCATCAATTTATGTGTTAATACTGTATTATAGATGTGTTAAGATATTTTATTTTCACGTCTAAAATACATTATAAGTAAAAATATGTTGTTTTTTAAATAAATTAATCTCTAATACAAGTAATATCAACACATAATATATTAAATATATAATATTTTGATTATTATGATTAATAATAAATACAAACAAATTTGCAACTTTTATTCATTTCCTTACAATCATTAGTAGTGTATTGATTAATAATTTTTTATACTCTATTAAATAGTTGTTATAATAGTTGCTAAAAAACGTCAAATAGTTGTTAAAATAGTTATTTAAACTGTATTAAATAGTTGTATATAATTGCCAAAAAAGCCAAATAGTTATTGAAATAGTTATTTATTTTCTTATAAATATTTCAACTGATATATAATTTACTTGTTTTCAGCATATTTATAAAAATGATTTATATAAATAAACTAAATATTTCTATTGTTAAAAAAGTAATATGAGTTGATAACAGTTTACACATTTTATATAATTTATATAACTATTACTTTTTGTTTTTACATATATTTGAGCAATATTTTAAAATTTAATGCTTATATTTTTCAAAATAAATGAAATAGTTATTTATAAGTTTTTATAGTTGCTAACCTAACAAATAGTTATTTATAGTTATAATAAAATTTCGGAAATAGCGTCCACTGGTCAACTTCGGTGGACATACTAAGTCCCAGTTATAAGCGTTAAACCGACAAAATAATTTTTTAGTTGGAAATCAAGACACTAATCATTAGTTATATTTAGTTACTTTAAGCTCAGAGTATATACTGCAGGGTTGGAAAAATACAAGGTTTTCATTTTTGGATTTATAAAATACAGTAAAATACAATGTACTGCAATATAATTGTTTTAATAATTTGTTTCAATGTTTCAATAATAATTTTAGAAAAATTACACAAACAATGATAAAATATTTATTTTTTTATTAAAATTATTATTATTACATAATTTCAATGTCGTTATTAGAATCGTTGTTTTCTAGAACTATTAAAAATTAATATTAATTATTTTATTAATATATTTCAATACCAGAATTAAATTGAATAGCTAATTTCAAATTTTTTCAAAAATTAGAAAAAATAATATTTATTACAAAACATGTATTTGTTTGTGAATCTTAGTATTTTTGTTAATAGGTGAGGCTAAATTTTTTTGTAAGTCAAAATTGTCAAGTAATTTACATTGTATTATACTTTATAATACGCTTTGTACTGTATTATACATACACTTTGTCTCTGCCAACACTGATATACTGTATGTATAAATATATTTTTTTTAAAAACAATGAAATTTTAGTCATACAATTAATAAAAAAATTACTATTAATATATAAACTAATATATTTTATGTAAATTAATTAGCAGATTATTTTAAATTTTAAGTAATAACTTAATGCAATCATTTACAATCTAACTTATTATGTCCAATAATATTGATATTTAAACGTATTTTTGTTTATCTGCTATTAAGTTAAGCAATAAATTTAATTTTTATTTATTCTGTTATAAATTATTTAAAAATTTTTTTGGACTATTTTGATTAAAAACTTTTAAAATATTGTAATTAAATTAGTTACATCTAAATTAATATAATTAGTATATCAATTACCTAAAATTATATATCAATAGTTTTATAAACAAATCAATATTAAATATACTGTAGTATACTATACAGTAATAGATTGCTCTAATAAACTACAGCCTGTTTTAACATTAAAATACTTTATATAACAGAGAAAATGCCAGATTATGTGTCTTATTTGATTAAGACAACTATGACATCAATTATGGTTAGGGATATAAAATTGAAAATTAGTTTATTATAGACAAATAGGACAGGTATTGTCCGGCACAGACCAATATTAATGTAGTGGTAGATTCAGGTGCCGGTGTCGTTGTTCACATTGGCTTATTGATGGCACTCGTAGGCTAACACGTCATTTAATACATTGATAAAAATTAATACGAAAAATTTCAAACCAAAGCTAAACTTATATCTTTAAAATCTAATAATAGATTTATTTTCATATATTACAGTATTAATAACTAATTATTTTAAATAATTTATTTATATATTTAATATAAAAATTATTTATTTAATTTATTCTTATATATTATAGTTATATATTAATAATAAATGTAATCAATTTTATTATAATTCTCTTACAGCACTAATTTATAACAAATCTAATTAAAATTTATATAATCAATGAATCTCTAATTTAATACTTTTTTTTAATCTTTTCAATTATGTTTTATTACCTGACAATAATTAAATTATTTGTTTTAATTTTATAAAATTACTTTTAAAATAAGTTATAAATACTACTGAAAATATATAATAATAAGTATTTATATTATAATAGATCTATAATATTGAATAGTAGTTCAAAATTTCCACAAAAAATCAACTCTTTTAAACTTTTAATATTTTTTTTATTAAAAATAATATACAGTAACTCCCGATGTACAGTATTTATCAGTGCTTTTTTGGTATTTCCTCTCAAAAAACTATTAATATCTAAAATATTGATTTTATCAATAGATAGTAATATTATATGAAGTGTCGGTTTGTTGGGCTCAGAGCACTGATAGCAATGACAACTTTTGGACAAATAGTGTCTGAAAGCACATCCAATATGTTTATGGTATTGTATATACAATACAATACTTAGTTTATAATATATTATACACTCGACTACCGTATTATCATTATATGACATTAATATTTTTTTATTACTAAATTATGTACTTTTATTATTATAAAATTTAATATATTTTTCTAATTATTAGTTTTAATTTAATTATTTAGTAAAAAAATCTCTATAAATAATATGAAAACAATATTAATACAGTACATACTAGTGCTTATTATTAGTTTGATTATATTGAGTTTGCTAAAATGTGTAATAAATATACAGTACCACATCAATTGTAATACACATTATATGAATAGCAAAAAAAACGTAAAGTAATCATCACTATATATATATATATAAAACTCATGAGTAAAGAGTTTATGGTTTAGTATAGATAAACATTTTTACCATTATATAATTTTTTCTTATAAAATTTTATTAATTATATTTATTCTAAAAATGCACATACCGCTTTTTGTTTAAAATTTATTAATTTTTTTTAAAAATTTACCTAGTAAGACTATTGGAGAGAGAGAGAGAGAGAGAGAGAGAGAGAGAGAGAGAGAGAGAGAGAGAGAGAGAGAGAGAGAGAGAGAGAGAGAGAGACAGAGACAGAGACAGAGACAGAGACAGAGACAGAGAGAGAGAGAGAGAGAGAGAGACATACAGATCACCGACACTAAGCTCTCAAGATATCAGTGCGAGTGAAACAGTTTTGCACATATAGTCAGTCAGTCACACAAATAAATGAAAGTGTTTTTTATTTGATTGTGTATATGTTTGTGTGTGTGGTTATATTAATTTGCTAAATAATATACCATTATTTTTTTAAACATTTTATTAATTATTTATTTAACTAATAAAATATTTATACAAACAAAAATTAAAATACAATATTTAACTTTTTACTGTATATTATAATTTATTTTATTTATTAATTTTTTTTTTGATAACTTTAATAATAAACTTTAATATATAAAATATATAAAATTATGAAAAATGTTTTTAATAAATATTTAATTTTAACATATAAATTCATGATATTTTAATAAACTAATATGATTTATATCATAAAAAATTCATTTCATGTTAAAACAGTGTTATTACAGATACTGTTATAAACTATTATTAAAATAAAATACAATCTAAAAAGCAGTATATAGTTTTTGTAATAGAAAAATACTATATTATATGAACTGTACATTTATAATACTCAAACCTATTTTTTTGATTAAATAAAATCAATTGTTATATGAGAAGAAAAATATATTATATATATCTTGAGTTTTAATATTTCATAGTTTTGTGCAATTTATATATATAAAATTAATATCTTTCCATAAAAAATAAATTATAAAGTTTTTCCGAATACAAGTATATATATATATATATATTTGAAAATTTAATAATTTTAGGTGCTGTAATATAATATTTATATAATATAAATGCTTTATTACTTATTTTCAATTTTTATTGTCGTAAAAATTTACTTTGAACACTTTAATAATAATGATACTAATAAAATAATATTTATTAATGTTTTATTTATTACATAATTTAAAATACGAAATGTTGTGAATGATATTGATAGTAATATAATTAAATATTTTATTATATCATATAAATAAAAATAATTGAACAATGGATCCGTTGGTAATGCAAGACAAGTATCTTTTCAATATATCGTCAAACTCTACAAACATAACACACCAAACATTGCCAACATTGGAGGCACTGTCCGATCCGTACCAATCTATACTATCGGTTATCTATATTATTACTGCTGTCACAGCATTTATAGCCAATATAATTGCATTGATTATGCTATTAGGTCGGAGCCGAAAGTCACAGCAATTAAAAAAATATTTATCAAACTTAGCGATTGCCGACCTATTTGTGGCCCTGTTTTCCATACCGTTTACATACGTAGACCTAATGTATGGTCAGTGGATATTCCCGTTGTGTTTGTGTCCATTTGTGCACTTTATTCAGATCATTGCCTGTACTGTATCTATATATACACTCATTGCCATTGGTATCGGCAGGTAATCATTCATATTTTATTCAATACTATTATTTTTATCATAAAAATAACTTTATTTAATGTATATAAATATCATAAGATTTTTTCTTGTAATCTTCAAAAGTTAGACAAATATAAATATTTTGTTTATTATACATTATATTTTTATATAACATTTAAGGTATATGTCATAATAGTATGATATTTATATATTTTATATCATAGAAAAAAATAAATATTATACTATATGTATAGTTTAATATTTAAAGAAAAATATTGCAATATAATCGAAAATCGATAGCTTATGACATTAATATAAAACACATATACAATATGATTGTATTTTAAACATAAAAACTATAAGTGCATAGTGTGTGTGATTTTTTGAATTTTATTGTGTGTCAAACTATAGATTATTGATTAATAAATCTCCTATTATATCGAAAATACGTTAATATGGCATAACTATATATACAGTTTCTTTACTATATGTGATCAAAACTTTAAATTAGATGTTAAAATAAATCTATTATTATTTTTCTCTTATCTGTTTTATTATTAAATAAATATATATATATATGAAATTATTTAAATTACTTTTAGTTTACAATTTTTATATGTAGTATATTTATATTTTTAAATTAAATTTCATTTTATTTCATATAATATACACTTTACATATAGGTTACTGCCTAATAAGCAAAAATGCAATTTTTAAAATAAAACTTATGTTACTTATTTTTGAAAATGCAAACAAAATTTTTTAAATACAAATATAAAACAATTAAAATTTATGTTATATTATTATGTTATATTACTGTGTTATTTATTTAATTGTTCAATTAAGTAACTAAAAAATTTAGATAGTAATAGTTTATTTTATTTAATATTTTATAATTTTTTTCATTTTTGCTTATTAAACACTAAATTGTTTATTATTATTAATTTTAAATTTTTATGTTACTTGAATTAAATAATTTACATGTACTGAATATATATTTTTGATAATATTGAATATAAATGTTTTATAATTTTGAATATATAATCTCAATATCCAATCTAATTTGAATTTTTTTCATATAAATATTATTGTATTATACAATTTTATCAACGAAAATAATATTTATCCATTTTTTAAAGATTTGCCTGTATGTTTATCTTGAATAAAAAATTGCATGTTTATAAAATATGCATAAAAAAAGTTTTTTAGTTTTATTTTGACATTTTTAAAGTACAATAATGTTCAATGTTTGCAAATTGTAAAACATTTATTTCAAATGTTGTAGGTTTTAATGTTTTACTGAAAATATATTATAATGTACACTATATTAAATTTTTTTGTATATTTACTTTTTATAATATTATATATATACAGTATATACCAAAACATATGTATAAATAAGTCAAAATGTAGTGTATGACTATTTATAAGTACTCATGTTTTCACATAAATATTAATAATTTATTTATAAACCAATATGAAATTTTTTTTCAATAATAAATATTTGTATTACAAATAATTATTAAATAACTATCAATAAAATAGATTTTATTAAATACTAAATTTAATTATTCAATTAATTTTATGTTTACTGTAAACTATATATTAATACGACTAATAAATTTAGTATTATTTACAATAAATAATAGATATTTTTAAAAAATTAATATTTAAATATTTATTATTATATTTTATATTTTCAAGTTTAAAAATATGTTTGTTATTTGTTTCATTTGTCTGTCTATTTTAATCAATTATTTTACTATTAGATTCAATAGTAAAGCATTTTATTGATTACTAAAAGTATATTAAGATTTCAATATAATATGTTTACGTAAAAATATTTTACTGTTATTATTAGTAAACATACCTTTAAGCAAATTATCTTGAAATTAATATTAAAAATAACACATGCATATATAATATAATGATAAAAATATGCGACTGAACTATATTTAGTTTAAAATTAAAGTAAAATTTAATTTAATTTTAAAATAACTAAATTTTTTGTTTAAATAATTTTTTCTTGTGTTCACAATATGTAAATAATTAGATATGAAATATGAAATTGTTATTTTAAACTTAAATTTTAGATGTAAATCATTGATAGATAAAAATGAAAAATTCATAAACATTATAAACAATATTATCTTATATTACAAACTATTTAAAATTTATAATATTATATACAATACAATGTTTTTTTTTAAATTTTCAGAACTACTAAAATTGATCTAAAATTAAATATTTATAATATATAACACTTCAAAATATATTTTTAAATAACATAATACCAGATTTAAATCATAATACTAGAGTACATTAGTTTATTAAAAAATTTATATGCTATTTATTTTAAAGTATAATATTATATTATAGTTTTTTTTATATATATACACTCAGAATCAATAGCATGTGAGACTTTTTATGATTTAATAAAATATCTAATACTATAATTACAAATAATATGAAATTAGCTTTAGATAATGATATGGTCACTAAAAATTTTGTATAAAGTTTATCATTAATCGTTTTTTAATTATTTAAAAATAACTAAAAATTTAAATAGCAAATTCAAATATTACAAGCAATAATAAATTATGTTTCCAACAAATTGTCACTCAAATGGACTCCATTTCACTGGATATTGATTTTTAAAAAGTTTAATTTGAATCAATGCTGATTCCAATGGAGTCTATTTAAGTGCCAATTTGTTGGACACACGAAGCTATTGCTTATTATTTTAATGAAAATTCTTTAGTTATTTTTAAATAATTTAAAAACTATTGAAAATTTAATATCCGATTTCTGGTGAGTCTATCTTAATTTTAAGCAAATTTCATATAACGTGTGTTTAAGGCTAAACACGATTTGTGCTCTAAAGCTAATATTATCATATAAATAATTTCTAATAAAATAGAAAGTTATACTGAAATTGAAATAAATTATATAATTAAGTTCTCCACATAAAAGTTCTATATTAAGATTAGTTAAAAATTTTAACAAATATAATACTGTATACAATTTAAAACGTGGATCCAAAAATTGTAATCAATTTTTCCAATAGGATGGGCATCAAGTCATACTTGTAATTATATAATAGTTTATAGTATTTATGAGTACACTAGTTAACTGATGCGGCCATCATCATAATGAATAGAAATCTACTTAAATAAAAACAAGCTATAAATAAATATAGATTTTAGTAATATATTTATTTAAACAAATAATATAATGTTTAATAGTACAACAATAAATTAACAAAAACTTTTATATATATATATATATTTATTAAATGAGAACTAAATGTTATTTTGGGCATTATTTATGTTTATATTTATTATATAAAATTTTGAGTCGCGCTTAGCATTAAACACACGTTAATAGAAATTTATTGAAGATATTAAACCATAGAGTCTAACATTGTATTGATTCCGAGTGTATATTTTATGAGTTAATATTATGATTATTTATTTAATATTTATTAATGATATTCAAAATATAACAATTATATTATATAAAAAATAAAAGTTTAAACAAATAATTAATGTTAAATAAATATTTACCTTATTTTATATTTTTAATATTACATTATTACTATAGATTTAATTAATAAAGTTAATAAATAATATTTGTTGAAACCTATTATTATTACTGTTTATAATTTGAATGACAAAAGCAAAGATTTCTATTATATTATTTAATTTAATTTTTATGTATTTACATAACAATAACTATATATAATAATAATAAAAATATGGTGTAATATATTTCATAGTATTTTAATGTTTTTCTTAGAAAATTGAAATGTAGTTAAAAATATTAAGATTTTATAAGTAACTAAAATTTCCATAATATTGTTATTTATTATAAGTAGTTATCAATTTTTGTAATAAACAATTCATAAACAACAACAACAATACATTGAGTTTTTTAATAATATATTGAAAAACATATTTATAAGTTATTTTTATATATTGTGTTTTATTAAAATTTACTTAATATATTCATAAATGCAAATTAATTGTTTATTGATAAAATATGGTTAGAAATAAATTTAATTTAGTTAGAAATATGCAATTTATTTTTTGATATATATCTAATATATATTTATTCATAAGCAATTAACTTGCATTTACAAATAACTTAAGTTTGCTTTATTAAATAAGATTTATTTGTAAAATTATATATTAAATAATTAACATATACAGTAAATGAACATAAATTACACAATTTTTAATACAAAAAAAAATTATAAAAGAAAATTATTATTTACTACTGATATCTCTATATAATAGTAAATTAATGTTATAAATTATAAATTTAAAACAATACTAAACTATGTTGTTTTATGATGTATTTCCGTATCGCATAAATATTTTTTGAGCTTTAAATATGTAATAAAATTATATTTTAGATGTAAGTAAAGTAGTTAGTCGTGTACTTAAAGTATTATTTTAATAAAATTTGTTTAAAAGTTTTTTATTAATGTTTAGAATATTAATTTATTGTGTTTAATGTTAAATATTATTTTAATTATTTTTACTAGCAAATTAGTTTTTTTCTAGATTTAAAATTTTAACAATTTTTAAAATGTACAAGGTATTTTTTTTATTCATCATGTATATACAGTCTATGCAAAACACATTTATTTTTTTGTAAATATGTGATTTATCACATAAAATACCTATATATAAATTATAAAGTATTAATATATTATAACTGCATTTACGTGTTTAATATCTATATATTTAGTATAAATTATATATATAAGTATAATGTACATAAATTATATATAACATAATCAATGATAAAATATAACCAACATTACAAAAGAAAAAATGATACCATTTTATGAGATTAAGTATAATATTTATTGTATAGTATAGAAAAAAATAAAAAAAATTAAATTTTACAAAAAAAACATAAAAATAAATCTTGTGGCATTATCTTTGTCTGAACTTAACTTTGAAATCGACTTTAATGATGAAAACCTATTGTAAGACACGGATATATATATATATAATGGATATAATGAATAATATATATATTTAAAAATTATATAAAATAAAAATAATTCTCTACGGGTTTTATAAATGTAAAATATTTTTTATCACTAAAAATGTAAAATAATTTCATTTTGAATTAAATGTGCTAACAATTTATATTTAAATTAAATATAATTTTAAAAAATAAAAATTATTATATACTGTATATAATTTAGTTAAAATTTTATTCAATCATTTTATTTATACGGTATCTTATGATATAAAAAATCTGACATTTTTTATGTTTTAAAGTATCATAAACTTAAGCATCATTACATATATTTTTAGCTCAAAAAATTATTTTTTAAATAATACATTGAAATTAATATAATACTGACTATACATTAAATACTATAATTGATTTAGATTTGTTCAAATAAGGCTTCTATAATTTCAAGGAAAAAATAAACAATAAAAACAAAATAAATAATAATTTATATAATAATTTAGTAAATGTCATAACAATATGTAGAAATAAGGAGGAGTCGGTTGAAAATGTTTTTTTATTTATTTATTTAGTTGTCTTAAGTGAATAATGTTTAACAAAAGTTTAGATGACTTAACTAACTTTACTAACTATTTTTAATTTAATATATATATATATATATATACTGTACTACAGTATAAATATTAATTTTAATTATTTTGCATCCTATGAATCAAACGGTATAACATATTAAAGATAAGTATAGAAATAAAATATTTATCAAAAAATAAAAGCTACGACTAAATCATTTATATACTGTATATTCAATATATACATTATGTATAAGAATTTGTATAATTTATAACATATAAATTATATGATATAATATATAGAAATTATAATTAATATATTAAGTGATTGGTTGTATAATATGTGAATGTTTTATAACAAAAAATAGCTTTATTAACTAATAAACGAAATATTTAATAATATCTATATTATTGTAAACTTTATATTGTATGTTGTACTGTAAATGGAAAACATTTTATGAATATTGATTTATCTTATTATAATTAGTTGTGTTTTATATAAATTATAATTATTTAATAGTAAAATAATAATGATTTATTAATTATAAACATTTATTCAATTAATTAATCTTAAAAATAATATACCGGAATAACATTTAAAATTATAATTGACGATTACATAATGGCAAATGTTTAATTTTTAGTTTTTATTTATTTATATATGCTAATGTTCTGATAATTAAAAAATATAATCTTTTAATAAAATGATTTTTTATTGGATACATTGTGTTTAGTTTTTTTATATAAATTTATCCAATTATATATAATCTTATTTCATACATATTGCTTTAATCTTTACATGCAGTGATAATTATGTAAAACATGTAATATATTTAATTTGTTTAGACTGTACCGTTTGATTAAATTATAATAATATACTGAAAAAATTGACATAAAATTTCTATATATTCACAAAAAATACTGTATCATTATTGACGTTATGAATATTAATAAAATTTTTATAAATAATAATCATAAGTTATTCTAGTGTTATAAATAGATAAATTAATGTTTTATTATTATACTATTAATGTATTTAGTGAAAAAAATGTTTAATATTAATAATTATTCAAACACAGTATTTAACTTATAATCAGAATTTAATACATTAATTATGCTTTATTTAATATATTATACATAGCTTATATGTATTAGAGATTTAATAATAATTATAATATTTTTTATTATTATTATACAAATTAAATTAACGTATATATTCAATTCTAAATGACCAATGTATTTAAATAAACATATTTAACAAAACGCATAATGTTTATATATCTTATTTACATAAATATGTAATATAAATATTATTATAATATTAGAAAATATAAGTGTGATTTTATTTTTATTGTATAAGCAAATAATTATAAAGTAAAGTATTATATTTATATATTTATTATCATATGTAAAAACAATAGATATTTGATTTAGTGAAAATTTAAATTTGATTTAGTTATTTATTTTAATATTAATTATTTAAGTAACTAATACTATACATTGTAAAATAAACAATACCGTAAAATTATAATCGCTTCTGTAGTCAAACGTTTAATTAAAATTAATTATGAATAAAGTTATAAATAAATAAATTAATAAAAATATTGATTAAATATTCTATAAATAATTAATGATTTTTTTATGAACAGGTATTTTGCAATAGTAACAGTTCTCAACCATATGAGGATGCGATTGAAATCACATACAAATCTCATAATAATCTTGATTTGGATATTCAGTATAGTAATGGCATCGCCCTTATTGTTCACGGCTCGGGCCTCACCCTTCAAATACGGCAACGAAACACTATATGACTGTCGCGAGACATGGGAGGGACAGCTAAGCGGACGCATATATACTGGTGTTATATTTGCCCTGACATTCATTTTACCGTTCATTTCCTTAACATTTGTTTACGGATCAATTGGCCTAACAATAGCCCGACACAAAATACCGGGAGATGAGAGCAGCACTGGTAGTGATGACAAAGCACTCACACATAAAAAAATTAAGGTTTGCCACTATTTTGTTGATTTATTGGTTATATATATATATCATATTTATATTGTTTTACACCATCATAATCAACAATAGCTATATAATCTACTGTATTTGATAATACAGTTTAATTGATAGTTAAAATAAAAAACTAATTGAATCATATAATCTACTTCATTATTTTGCAAACATTTATAAATTATATTTTTAGAAATATAAAAACAATTAACTACCAAAAAACAAAATAATTAAGTGTTATTATTGAACTACAACATTGTTTTAACGATAATTTTGTTTAACATTATTTGCAATACTGTATGTAAATAATTAAGGTTAATTGATATCTACTATACAAAATAATCTAGAATTAATCATTTAGCAAATAATTTTATTAATAGTACTAAAAAATACTAATGTAATCAGTAAATGATATTAACTATAAATCTTATGCTAAGAATAGCTGAGATTTTTATTAGTATAACTGTAATTAATTACATATAAACAATAATAATCATCTGTTTTCTACAATTTAATGAGAAATGCATTAAATATACATTATTTATATTGAATATTATTCTAGCAATAATACATAATATTTGTATATACTATATATATAGTAGCAACATATCTAAACTATTGCACAACAAATGCAAATATTAACAAACACAGCAAATATATATATATATATAATTATATATATATATATGATTTATGGATTTGTTTGTCAATAACAATATTATTTCTTCAAATAATAAATTGTTTGTCAATAGTGCCAATCATATAAAATACTATAAAGTATAATATTGTTTTTTAATAAAATAAAACCTTTTTTTATTTTTAGCACTTACTGTAACATTTCATTTTATAATACTATATAATATTTTTTGACAACATTTATAGAATATTATTGAATTTACTTATATATATTATTACAGTACATAACTGTATATTAAATTGATGGCACACCAAAAAAATTTTACATAATCATTGATTTACAAATAATATCTATAGTATTATACTATAATTATTTTATTATTTTTAATTGACATATCATTAATAATTAGAATAGCGTATAAAATTATGATATACAAGCTTAATGATTATTGGTGTAATTATATTAACTAATATTAAATTATTAGTGATATAAATTATAATAATTTGTCAACCGTGTAAAAACTCGTTAATAAAAATTATATTTTGTTTAATAAAATCAGCAAAAATTTTCATTAATCAATTTTATTATTAGTATCAAATACAAATATTTGTAAACGATTATTACAATTTTTATTATTAAATATATATTGTATTTATAGTAGAGATAACATTTATTTTTGTTAAAATACATTATTTTTATTTTAAAACATTAAAATATAAGTGATATATTTTTCATAAGCTTTCATATAAATATTATATTTAAATATAAATAATATATCTTTTGTTTATTTTTTATAATAATGTTTGAGTAAGACTTTTAAAATGTTTAAATGATCCAATAATAGTATACATTATATAAATTATATTTATTATATAAAGTATATATATTGTACTTGTATTGTAATATTGTAGATTGAAAATGAGATATAAATTATATCATATAACACAACAAACTATTAGTTTGTTGAGTGTGTATGTAATAGGATATAATCAATGCACAAATAAAGTGAACTTGTTAATTTCAATTACAAAACTAAATTTATTATTTACACAAATTACTACAAAATATATTGTTTGTCAATGAATTTTATTTTCAATTTAATATACAGTATTTATTTTAGTTAAAATGTCAATGAAATTTATTTTACAAATTTTTATTATTTAAATGCTTTTGACAGATTGTATGGATTTTTATGTCGAAAGTAATTTAAATAGTATTGAAATCATTGTTGATAATGTCAAACATTTTTCAAATAATTTTAGAAAATAGCATTGCATTCATAGTATTAATAATAAATCTAAATTATTGCATGAATTAATAAATAATTGTTATGTTAATCTTTAATATGACATATAAAGTTTTTAAATATTTTATAAATTATAATATCTTTTACAATAATATATATATATATATATATGTTTAATATTTTATTTGTATATAAAATATAACTATTTAACATTAAAAGTTAAACTATAACATTTTTTCTAATGTGTTATTTTATTTTTTCTTTAATATATATAATTTTTAAAAATATATGTACATAAAAATATGATACCAGAACTATCAAATTTTTCAAAAATGTTTTATTTTTCAAATGTTATTATATTAAAAAATAAAARTGTTATTAAATGTAAATATATTCCATAAGCATATAGTTTGCCGATCGATGTATAATATAATATAAYATTTTCATCAAATATATAATTTAATATATAAGTAGCTTAAAATTTCTTTAAAAATTATTATTATTATTATTAGTTTGTTTAGTAACAATGTAATAGTATTTAAATGATGTTAAACAAAATAATAGTTTTGTTATATTTTTAGTTTATCTTTTATATTAAATAAATTTTTATGAATCAATTTTAAAAAAGGAAACATTGACTTATGATATACTTATCATTCCATCAGAAAAATTAAATAAAATAAAATATATTATTATTATTATTTAGAGTATAAAGTTATTATTGTTTCACAACATTATTAAATATTTGAATCAAATATTTATTTTTGACACTTACTGTTAATTAAATTAGTTATTTTGATACAAAAACATTTAAATGATATTATTTAAATAAAAATTTACGATAAGCAGCTTGCATTTTATGTAATGTTTCAAATTTTACTAATTTAAAATTAGTATTAAATGTCATTGACATTGTAAGCATTGTAATCGCATTTAAAATAAAAATGTAATTTGAGACAAAATTTATTTCTTAAATAAATACATAAAATAAAACTCATTAAAAATATTTTAAAAACAACTTTTATTTCAATTAGTTTTAGCGATTATTTATTTTTCTAATACATTAGATGAGACAACGATTTTAATAATAAAATTTTAAGTTAAACAAAGTTAAATTAATTATAAACTAGTATTTTTTTGTAATGCAAATATTATACAGTCTATTATTAATAAAGATTAAATTATTCAGTATATATTATATGTTTAGTATTTTCAATAATTTAGCTATCTAAACTTAACATTTATAAATATTGCATTTACTTAAAAATTTATTAACATTATCTAATTAAATATTAAACTTGTTATAAATAAATAATTATAAATAAATAAAATATTTAATAGAAAAATGTATTATATATTTATAATATTTTATAACGTTGTAAATATAATTTCATTATATTAATGTATTATTTATATTTGTTTGATTTACTTTATATTGTTTATATTATATTTCAATTTATACATTAAAAGGTAATTTTTTATGTTTATTATAGTTATTTAAGTATTTAGCATTACTATAATAAACTTTCCATTTTTCTCAAGTATCTGTATAATAGTTTGATGTACTTTATATGAATAGATTATAATAATAAATTAAGTATACTTTCAATAAATTATTTTTGATTTTTGAAGTCCCTAAATGTAACATACAATATAAAACTATATCTAAAGTGCATTATATAATTATTTTATAAGTATATCCAATATATACAGTATTTTGATTTTCAACATAATTATCAAGTATTATAAAAATTACAATATGTTTGTTATATTATTGTAATAAAATAATGCAACAAATATTTTCTAACAAATCTTATAAAACACAATATCTTAATATAATAGAAAATAATAATAAATTGTTATATTATAATAGTATTGTTAATTTAACTAAAGACAAAAGCTCAGTCATTATTAATTAAAAAAGTAAATAAATCATAAGATTATTATCATTATTATGATTACAATTTTAGAAATTGAAATATACAGCAAAATCAATAAAATGTCAAATAAAAATAATATAATTTATTTTAATGTATTGGTATAAAATATATTAGTCTCTACTAATTTTTTCTACATTTTATTATAACTTTTTTAAAATTTCAATATCAATTGCAATTATCATAAAATACTATTAATTAAAAATATTATTTTATAATTAATTTATTAGATATCACTGAATCAGTTAATATCAGTTAATTATTTAGATTATAATTTTGATGTCATTCAATCTATACTATTGTGGTTCAGATTTTACTAATGTCAGCTCATATTGTTTTATAATTATATAAAATAATATAATATATAAATAAATTTTCAATTGTTGATATAAAAATCACCATGTTAAATTTTATATGCTTTTTATAAATTAAAACGGAATATATATATATATACAATGTGTCCAACAAATAACTTAACAGTCAATCAACTTTACTATATATAAAAATTTACAATAAGGTATTAAGTTATTTGTTGGACACTCTGTATAATAACATAATTAGAAATGCCTTTCCTCTGTCCAATTCCCTTAAGGACAGACAATCTTATTAAACTCAATAACCATTTATAATAATTTTGGGTTCATATATATACCGTATATATTATATATATATATATATATATAAACAAATTAATTATTAAAGTTTCAGATTTTCTTTGTGTAATTTTAGAAAAGTWTTCATTAATCAATTTTTTTGATAAAATATCTAAAATAACGTAATATTACGCAACAATTATGAATTATATTATATTTCATTTTTGTAAATATGATTATTTATTATAAAACGCATTTGAATTGTATTTTTTTTTTTTTGAATGCAAATATCATATAAATTTTATTACAAACATTTATTAAATTCTGCATGAAATAATCTTAACAAATAAAATATTTAAAACTTATTTTTAGTTTATTGCACTATGTATACAATTTTATAATGATAAATTAATTTTATTAAATAAATAACTAAATAAAATTTTATAAAAATCTGAATATGACATAAATATTTTATTAGTACAGTATATTAATAATTAATAACATATAAAATATATATTGTATAAGTTATATATTATAACCCACCCTTTATTACTTCTAATTCACTTAATAATGACAATATAAGACATAAGTCATTGAATACTACAAATAAACTACAATACTATTTCATTAAATATTATTACATTAAATATATCTAACCTTTTGTTAATTGCCATTATTATGATAACTAATAACTATGTAATAACTATTCAAATTATGTTAAATAATAATAGTAATAATAATATTTATAATAAACATTCTGTATCTTTTGTATTAAACAAATTATTTATTTATAACAATGAATTTCATAGAAATTAATAATTTAAAATATAATAAATATTACACACTTTTCTTTATAATCAGTGATTAATCACTTGTCTGATTATAATTTGTTAATAAATACATTTATTTTAAATAAACAATTTTTATATAAAAATATTTTTTAACTAATCTTTTTTTCAAACCTTTTAACAAATAGGTGGTCAAAATGTTATTATTATTGGTCACAACATTTGCAATATGTTGGACACCTTTGCAGACATTGAATCTGATGTTATGGTTGTTTGATTCCCTCCGTCAAGTGGACGATAGGTTTCATTATTATCTATATTTTGTTATATATTTTTCGTGTCATTGGATCTCCTGTTTGAGTTCAATCATAAATCCAATAATCTATTGCTTTCTCAGCGAAAACTTCAAAGTAAGCATAAAATTATTTATTGTCTTTATTTTTCTTTAAACAAAAACAAGATAAGAAAAAGTTATACTTAAATAAGGTTTATATCACTTTTTTATGTTTAAATATCATTATATTATATATTAGATGTTGCCTAACCTAACCAATATATATTTATATTTATTATATGATGTAATTTACAATGTTTTATTACAATTGTTTCACAAAACTAAGAAAATTTTAAGTTAAATTTGACATTTTGATATATTGTTTATAGTATCAAAAATAAAACAGACATTAGATTTTATTTATTTTTTTTTGATAATTATTTTTTTTAAAAATGACAACTAATACTACTTTGTACTGTATATGCATAAATGTATTGTACAAACTCAACAACAATTGAAATTCATTTTATAGTAATTTTTTTAAATAAAAATCAGCTCAATATATAATTTATAGTTTTATATTTTACTTCACTAACTAATAATAAATTATATAAAGATATTATTTTGTTTTAGTAATATTCACATATGTTACTAATGTTATAAATCAAAAAAAWATATATATAAAATATTTATAGACATAACAAAATATCTATTTACTATATACAGTGTATATCTTCTATGTCTACACTAGAGTTTTGTTTTATAGATAATTAGTTTTTTTCTGTAACTGTAAATCCATTTGTTTCATACGATACACTTATTTATTGTACATTGAGTTTATAAATTTATCTATTTTACACAGTGTATTACACAGTAAGTTATTTAATATACGGTATATATATATATATAGTAAGCTTACTTTGTATTACAAGCTATAGTCTAAAATTCAATCAAACCATTTTAAAAAAATGTTATATAAGTAGTGTACTGTATGTACCACTTATTGACCGCAAAATATAAAAGTGTAAATAAATTTTGTTTTAAATTGTGTAATTTTAAAATTGTTTGCCATTAAATTACTCATCCTATTAAAACTAATRTATAATAGTTAATTTTAAGATTTAATACTGAATTATATTATTTTTCAAAACACTATGCAAACAAATATTTCAGTTAATTAATATACTGTCGATTATATTGATAAATGACTATAAATTAAATTAAAGAATTTAGAAAATGTTGGATTATTTTAGTTTTTTATAAAYTTATATATTTTACTAATTATTTTTATTTATCAAATTTTAAACAATAGTTACGTGACTTCATAAATATTATGACCTGTAGTGCCAAACGAAAGGCCAAAAGCGAAAGATATCGCAAAACGTTTGGAAACCCGAACTCAATGACAGCTTTCAGACGCAAACACATTAACGTTAGGTTCAATGTTCACAACAATGTCTACATCCCTGAGCCCACACTTAATACTGTTTGACTAACTGTCAAACCTTACAAACTATTTGTGCTAAATTTTTTTACTATTTAATTGAAATGTGTGTAATTTGAAAGTACAAAAAACAGCTATTTTTTGTTAATCAGTTACTTTCATTGATAACATGTATAGTAGTATTATTATATGCCATTAATAATTAAATTTAATGTTTTTTAAAAAAATATATAAAACATTTAATTTGAAATATTTGTCATTCCATTCAATTAATTATTTAAAACAAATAAAAATTTTTAGACTAAATTCTAAAATCATTATAAATAATAGAATTTAAATTAAATAACATTATAATTTTTAAAAATATTTTTTCAACCTACACATTTATTAGTATGATACATTTTATTTTATAATAAAACTATAATAATATAATTTAATTATATAAAAATATTTAAATCATATTTTAATAAATGTAAATTATTTTGTAATATAAAATAATAAATAATTTGATTTGAAAAAATAGCAATATATTATATACTATTTGTAAAAATATAAATTATAATAAAAAAAATATTCAATGTTATTTGGCTAATTATTATTGTAATTTAATGATTTTATTCTAGTATTTATATTTTACAACTAAAAAAATTGAATAAAAAATGGTTGTTGAACTTAAAAATAAAAGTTATCCAACTAAATAAATACTAGACACTAATGCAATGTAATTGGCAGATTATTGTTTGACAACAATTATTATCTAAAATATAATGTAAATACAATAGTTTAGATAAAAATCATTACATATTATAACAGTAGTAGTGATAAGCAATGATATTTGTATCATAAAAAAAACCTATAAACTATTACAGTATTCAACAGTAGTTRCATGCAATTGTAATTTATGTATAATATAATTATAAATAATTTTCCATCGACTAATTGATTAATGGCTAACTGACTAATAATTAATTGTTTTATTTATTAAGTAAGTTAGTTAGTTATTGTGTTTATTTGTTTGTGTGTTTGTTTGTGTTGTAAATGGTTTTTAATATTAATGATTTTTATTTAATTCGCTTAATAGTATTTTCTATATTTAGTACRTTTATTTATTTATTTATTAATTAAATAAAATAATTTTATAAAATATACATTATAAACTTATACATTCCCAGATTTATTTATATGATTTTTAAAAATTATAACAAATATTATTTTTTATATCAAATATATTATAAATATATTAAATGGTAAAAATAAATCGATATAATTATTTGCTCAGAAAAAAATATTACATGATACAGTTTTTTATAGATAAAAATTATTTTAAAACTATTTATAAAATTAATTAATATAAAAATTATAAATGTTATTTACATTCTAATCTCATTAAATGTAACTCTATCTCTCTATATATCTATCTAATAGATAATGTTATGATTATATATAGATATTTACAATAATACTGCAAAAAAAATATTTTTAACATTAAAATAATTGACTAAAACTATGATTGACTAGATTTACTCAAAACATTTTTTCATTTTCATGTTTAATTTGTATATAAATTTATATTATAAGAAAAATTATTAATATCAAATGGTTATAAACTTATAAGCTTTATATATTGATAACTATGTTATCAAAAAATATTTAACAAATAAACAATTTACAATAATTATTTAACTTTAAATATAATAATTAATCTACTTTAATCATTAACTAGTTTAACTTCAGTATTTATTTAGTAATCTAATATATAATACACTAAATATAATAAAATTTTTAATCATAAATGAGTGATTTGATGTTAAAATTATATATGAGTAATTTTTTTAAAAAAATTATTGGAAAATCTTATTTTATCTATTAATCAATATTTAAATTAATAAATCACAATTAATGATTTTAACTGTCATTTAGAAAAATTTTTATAAAAAAATAATCCTATTATTATATTTACAATAGTATATTGATTTTAGATGATTAATTGTAAAAATTAAATTAATTATTTTTCACTCGCTCAATATACTTACAGTTAAATAAAATTATCAATAATTTTAAAAATATAAAATTTAATTAAAACTAAACAATGGAATGCAATTTATTTATCCATGTCAATTTGTCATTGCAATAACAATGCATAATTTTTACACCCAAATATATAATTACCGTATATCTAGATGCTAAACTAAAAATACACTAATATTTTTATATTTAAAATAATAACTAATAAATCTATCTGTAATATAAAAATTAACTACAATATAGTGATTATCTTAATTTATATAATTATTGTACTATTTAATAATTAAAAAGATAATTAACGAATATTAAATTTATTTATACTATTAATAAAATGCAATTAAATTGAGCAAAGTATTGATAAACTTATTGAAAAATTAAAATATTTTAGTAAATTAAACATTTTAAGCATATTTTAGTTACTTTAAGACATTTATTTACTATCATTTACTACAACAACCAAACCGTTTTGGTTTGCCATCCGATGAAAGGGTTAGTGCGCTTTGTATGAGATTATCCTCATTTTGGGTCATAATTTGAGTCAACTGTGCAATGGATGACATAATATTCATACCGTCCTTACAACTGGTCTCGACAAACATGAGTCCAAATTGTTGTGCCATTTTATATCCGTCCTCTGCCTTCACGTATTTCATATCCTGTGCCTGAAGTGTAGGCCTTAAGTCAACTTTGTTGCCCACAATCATCACCGGAACTCCTTTGGCGGTCACTTCCTATAAACACATGTATTAAATAATCAATTAATACTAATATCTAATTATTATAATACGGTAATAGAAAACAGTTAGCTTTCGGGATAGACTATTATCGTTACCTCAATAGAGTAGATCCAATCCCTGACATTCAGAAAAGTCTGTTCATTGGTCACGTCGTATAACAACATAATACCGTCTGCTTTGCGAAAATAGTTTCTCGTAATACTTCGATACCGTTCCTGACCAGCCGTGTCCCACAACTGGAGCGCCACATTGCGGCCGTCGAAGCTGAAGGTGCGCACCTGGAAGTCAACGCCCAGCGTAGTGGACAACTGAGCGGCAAAATAGCCTTTCGATAGCCGAAGAATGTATGTCGACTTTCCTACACTGGCGTCGCCAATGAATATGACTTTGTAAGTGCGTTCGGGAGGACCGGTAGGTTCGCTGATCATATTGCTAATTGAATGACTGGTAATATTAGTAGCTGTAGTAGTATTAGTAGTATTTAATGGCACAGTTGTATCGTTTTTTGAAGAATCAGATCTTTTATAATACGACATTAGTAATGGCGATGATCGATGAGATCGGTTCATCATTGATGACAATCCACTATCCATATCGTCGGGCGAAACAATATGTTTTATGGCACTTATGGGCGGACAGGAAGCAAATGAACGGTAAGATATAGCATCTCTGTCTGTGGCACTAACCATAGAGACTGACTCGAAGTCAACTTCAGTTTCCGATAACCTTAGTTTTAGTAATAATTTATGAAACATATTAACTATTGTTAACTTTATTATGCATTAAACATATTATAATTATACAAACAGTTGATTACCTGCTAAACACATGTCTATCTTTGTTATGCTGTCCATCATTATTAATATAGTCACCAATAACTGATCCTCTTTTATGATGAGACAACACGCTATGACAACCTCTCACAGGTTCAGGCGATGACGGCATTGAATGAAGAGATGTAGTGTCCAATACATTACGGAGTGCATCGTTGGTATCATTCAGTCGTTTGTTGGCCTCCCTGTTCCCCCCAAAAAAAACATTTACAATTACAACTTATAATAATTATCATTTTTTAGTCCAATACTAACTGCAATATCATTAGCTGTTGCTGGAGGTGCTGTTGTTCAGACTGTTGCTCAGAGAATCGACTCATTTGAGTGGTCAACTCGCGACACTTGTGGTCATACTGTAGACGCAACTGAGCCAACTCTGTCCTCATTAAAGCCACCGATGTCTGTGTGTCTACCAATGAAAGCTTCAATTGTCTCGAGTCTTGCATCGACTCATCCAATTTGGCTCGGATTTCGTTGACCTGATCTTCGGCCAGATTCTGGTGGTTAGTCTTGAGCCACGTTTCCACCTAATAAAAGGTATTGTCAAACATATTCAATRTATTCAATAAGTATCCAAATTATTAGCAAAAAAAACATTGTTTATAGTTTTGTTTAATACTTTACAATACCTTTTCAAACATATTTAGGTGAGACTGAAGCTCTTCCATCTCACCCTTCATTAGGTCTCTCATTGACTTTTTTTCCGCTTCGACCTCTTTTTTGGCCTTTTCCTGAACCCTGTTCTCTGCTTCCTTCACCTGATAGTCGACCTCCTGTTCCAATTGAAACAAATGTTTTTCGTGTTCTTTCTTTTCTCTATTATTTTTTGTTTGATAATTAAAAATATAGTTTTTTTGGTGACAAAACTCTGGCCTTTTATATATAAACCTTATCCAAGAGTTGGCCAAACGTTTATTTTCTTCTTGTAATTCGCGTACACTTTCCAGTAGTTTCTCAATGACTGACTGATCATTTTGTTGATCCGATTGTGGCTCAGATATGTAATGTTCAGAAAATCTATTAAAAAAAATAATTTAATAATTAATTAGTTATTAATAGATAAGTTTAATCTAATTTAGTGAAACTTTCAATTTTTTAATAAAAAATTTAATTAATTGATAATTTTTTGTCAGTTATTAACATAATAATTAAACATAATTTGTATAACAACAACATTTATCATATGATATATCATATTTTGCATAAAATATCAATTAAATTTTTATATAATTTTTTTGAGGACAACTAAATGTTTGTGACACATTTTATTAGATTAAAATATCATTTAAATTAACTTTTTTTAAAAAAAACATTAATTATTCATTGTTTAAGCAATCGTGTAATTTAATACTATTTAATTCATAGTTTATCATAAAAAAAATTCAGTGTCATTTGATAAGCTACTAAATTACAATATTTTTCCCCATAATAATAATAATAATAAAAATATTAATTAAATAAAAATTGCAGACAATGTGAGAATCATTAACAACAACTTCATTAAAGAAAAGTGTCATTTATTTGTATATACATAACAATTGGCAAACATTTAATATTTTAGTATTAATTAATTATTATTTAATAATCTAATTTATTTTTAGTGTCTTATCTATAGATGACTAGTGTAATAGTATATAAACTACTAATAATATAACAAATAATTACCCAGTTGATGTATTACAATCATTTTGAATGAACATCTTTTTAGGTTTGTAAACATTTTCGGCAAATTTTTCAGTAATATCTTCCGTTTCCAACGCTTTCTTTAAGTTTCCGTAACATTCAGACGTATTATTACTATTATTATTATTATCGTTATGATTGATATCATCTGTTATAATGAGACCCTTTTCATAGTCATCAAAACCGGTGCGAAAGTCATCAAAACTGATCCTCCCGTCACTGTCCCGGTCCAAGTCGTCAAATATGCCGTCCGAGTCGTCCGGTTTGATGTTAAATCGGGCGCATAATTCCCGTAACTCATCCCGACATAGATATCCCGACCGATCGGTGTCCCAATAGTTGAACACTTGCCGTAAGTTTTGGTCCATTAAGTCATTACTATTATTTGTGTTCATCTAATTGTTGTTTAAAAATATTATTTAATTCAAATATCATTATGAATTGAAAATAAACTGTTTTCATATTATTATTATTATTATTATTATTAAAATTTATTAAAATATTATTTGGGTTACTAGTTAATCAAATAATTTTTTTAGCAAGTTTCATTTTTGTTTGCCATACAAAAAGCCAATTAAAACAAATTAATTTCTACCCATAATTTTTTTTTTTAAATATTCAATAAAAAACACAAACAATACATGTATTTCATCGTTAAACTAAATACTATTATTATTAGTACTAATAAGTTTTTATACTGTTTAAATACAGTAAATTATTGTTAGTTTGTATATTTAACAAATGTATAAATGAAATAATATGAAAATGAAAAATAAAAATAAAATAGACAGGAAAATACAAGTCAACAAAATTATTGAGTTCACAACAAAAAAAATTAATTATAAAACTAAATTATATACTGTACTGATATAATATGATATAATATAAAAGTATATATGTATATGTTGTATACTGTATATGTTATATACTGTCTGTAATATTGAACTTTTTATATATAGTATTTTAAAAAAGGCAATAATATTATATACAGTATTATCATAATAATCATTATTGACTCACATTTTTTTCCTTTCTATATCGGAAATGATGTTTAAATGTTAATGATTTTTGGAGATAAATATCATATTTTAGTTTTTTCTATTCATTCAATTAAAATTGTTTTTTTTTAATGAAAGCATTTGTTAGACACTAATTTGTTGATTGATTTTCATTTTACGACTTCAAACAACTGTCTCATCATTTATAATATATAAAGTTTTTTTTCATATACTGTACAGTATGTTATACAACATAACAGAAAGTAAAAACAAACATTAAATATACTTAAGTTTTTCATTTATTTTATTTATTTGTTGTTGTCGTTGAAAATAAATCTTTTATGGATTGTATTATACAATCAAAGTTTTAAAAAAATTGTTTGTTTCTTTTAAAAAACACAATTTAATATAATTTATAAACAATTTTTTTATACTTTCTTTTAGTTTACTAAAAATTATTATCACATCGTGTCAAACAAATCACAAATAAAAAAATAATATGAAATAAAAAAAACTGTGTGTACTTCATATCTACTAAATATGACAATATTATTGTCTATTATAATTCATATAATTTTTTTTTGTGTAGTTTACTTTGATATTTTGTTTGATAAGATAATCAAAATGTAAATATATTAAACTATACTTATAAAAAAATATATGATATTTAATATCTGTATATTAAACTTTTTATGAACAACAGTTATCGCACAAACAATATTGACTTATATTTTATGTGAAACTATTTTTTTTTTCATTGCAAAAGGCGACGTTTAAAGAGAGAGAGAGAGAGAGAGAGAGAGAGAGAGAGAGAGAGAGAGAGAGAGAGAGAGAGAGAGAGAGAGAGAGAGAGAGAGAGAGAGAGAGAGAGAGAGTCATAAATAAAATTGATGTTAATGTAGACTAACACCTGTTAAGACACCTGTGCTGACAAATTTAGTATTTTTGTTGTTGATTTTTTTTGCGTTATATTTTTGTCATTTTTTAAAGTGTCATATTTCATAGTTTAACAAATTTTTTTAGTAAAACGGAGTACATATATATTAATAATTTATATATATATATATAACTATTATTATTAACATATAAATATAAAGTGTATTTGATTGTTAAAAACATAAAATTTGTAAGATGACAATAGAAATTTTTAAAATAAATTATGTTTTTTTGGATTAAATATTGATTTAAATTTTATGTTTTTTAAATTTTAATATTTTAAATATTAAGTTTATATTAAAAAAAATTACTAAAATGTTTATAATCATTATAAAAATCAGCAATAACAAATAAAACAATTTTTAATTGTTTAGTGTTAATCTGATTACTGTAACATTTTGTTTAATTTGTACTAAATTTATCAAATATAATAATTTTGCAAAATTTATACATCTATTATACTTTATTTATAACAATAAAATCATCTATTGTTTTAAATTGTGTTATTGAGATTTATAGTTCAATTAAAAACAGTTATATTACCAATATATTAAAGCTGTATTATGTTTTCATTAAATTATGTCAATGCTATATAAACTACAGTAAACTAAAAGTAGAATAACATATAATAGTGGATTAAAAAAAATATTTTTCTATTATTAGTTTATTTATTAAAATTCAAATTTTTTAAAAAATTCATAAATAATTTATTAATATAATATAGCATTCGTGTTAATAATGAAAGTATTTAGTAATACTATTACTAAATTACTTATTTTTTTATTGTTATCAACTTAAAGTGACAAATTAGTAATAAATTATTATTTTCTGTAATTAATCAAATAAAATCATGTGTGCAATAAAATATGTTAATAATATGATTTTCAGCTATAATTTATAACTTATTTATAAACTAAAACCTATTATTATCAATTTACTATCTAACTTATTATTTTATACTATAAATTACAGTACATTTACTATATTTATCAAAAAAGTGTGTGATTTTGTTATACAAATAATCTATTAATTACTAAATATACTATAATATTAAATATCGTATTTAATACAATATAAATAATTAATGTACAATAACAAAATGTTTTTTTTTTTGAAAACTATTTACATTATTAGAAATAGTATATAAATTAAAATTAAGTATAGTTTTAATTTTTAATATACAATTTAGTACTTTTAGTTATAAAATTTGGACAGAAAAAATCTTTATTATATTAAATATTAACATTACAAACATAATTATGTGAATCACTCGTATAAATTAAATTATTAACAAAAAAATAGTCTTCCTACTAGAAAAACGATGATATAATTTATATATCTTATATTATATGATATAAATTATATCCTATAATATATAAGATAAATATTTTCAATAATTGACATTTGAAATTATATATAATATTACTTCAATTGATATGACTCAATGATTTTGTCTGAATATTTGTATATAAAAGTTAAATAAAATTGATTGTAATTTTTAAATAAATAATATGAATAAAATGTCTATAAAATATAGTTATCTTTGTTGACTTTCAGACATTTAGTCAACTATAATAAAAATGAAATTCAATTTCTATTTAATTTTTTTAGTCATCGTTTTAGTGGTAATAGTGATAGTAGAGGCCGGGAAATATGGACAGGGAGGTGAAGACGGTGAGGAAGGGGAAAAGGGTAGTGCAGGAGAATCAGGTGGAAAGGGTAGCAAAGGAAGCAAAGGAAGTTCAGGCAAAAAGGGAAAACCCGGTGGTAAGGGTAGACCTGGCAAACGTGGCGGTAAGGGATCTAAAGGTGGAAAGGGTGGTCAGGGACACTATACATATCATCATAAATTCATACCGTGTATGTATAGTACTGAAATTATTGTAATTGTTATGATTAAAAAAATAATTATATAATAAAGCTAAACATCATGGACATGGACATGGGCATGGTCACGGCCACGGGCACGGGCACGGGCACGGGCACGGGCACGGGCACGGGCACGGGCATGGACAAGGGCATGGACACTTGTATCACGATGAACCTGATCATTATGGTAATGATAATTACCAGGGAGGTCATGGAGGTCCTATACTACTTAAATCGTTTAGTTGGTAATAATAAAAAATGATTTATTAAATAACTATAAATATCTATATATATTCAAAATTATTTAATTATGTATTTTTGTAATAATTTTTGTTTATTTATTCATTATTTAATTATATTTGTGTGTATAAACTTTAAATTTCTATAATAAAATAATATTTATACAAACTTTTACTTATATTTTATTAAAAAAACATATATTAAATTTATCTTTTTTAAAAATAAATTAACAAAATTTATGTATTATAAGATCTAAAATTTATTATATTAAAAATAATTATTATTATTAATAATAAAAAAAAACCTAATCTACAGTGTCTTTATCTATTGGCATAAAATATAACTATAAATATTTTATTATTTAATAAAAATGTAATTTTTATACTAATTGTATAATTTAATCATATTATAGTTAAAATTAAATAATAAAATATTTATAGTTAATTTTTATGCCTATAGATAAAGACAATGTAGATTAGGTTTTTTAAAAATAAATTTTAGAAAGTTTATAACTGAACAAATAATTAAAATAAAATCAATAAAACTATTAATAGTTATAATTAATTTAATATTGCAATAAAATGTATTAATAAAATTTTATATACTGTATAGATTTTGTTTTATTTAATTTATATAATATAATCTTTATTTATATTTATTTATATTTATTTATAATTAGTAATAATACTTAATTCAAGTATTCAAAAGTTTAGATTTTTAAATTGTAGTTTTTTCTTATCAGTTTAATTATTAATCATTGCTTTTTTAGTAAAAATATAAAAATAATTGAGTGTATTATTAAACACAATAAAATGCACACAAATAAACAAATCAATAGCTTATTAATAATTAATTAAAATTATTGTCTGTATTGTAAATAAAAATAATAGTTAATTCATTACTCATAAGAAAGCGTGACTTTATTATGAAATTTCACAAACAATTGTGTCTGAAAAAAGTTATAATCATATTATGAAATTCATACACAAAAATGTGTGCTCTTTTAGCACTTCATTTAAAAAAAACAGTGTGTTTTAATTACATACAGATTTATAATTGATTTAACATATATGATAGCGTATAGTGAAAAACTGCAACTATAGTGATAATTGTAAAAAAATGTTTATTTAAATTTTTTTAAATGATTAAGCAGTTATATCATATAATGTATAAAAAAAACTTCTGAGAAATGTGATTATCATTTAATTAAAAACATAAAAATCATAGTTGCAAAATATTAATTAGTTTATTAAATAAATATCATATAAATAATTTTTGTTTGTTTGTTAAAATATTATTTTCCTTATAAACATTTCGTGTAATATTGTATTTATTTATTTATTGTTTGTTTTATTAATCTATACTTAATATGTTATAATTAAATTTATTAATAAATTATCATAAAACAACAAAACAATAGGAAATCTTGTGTATATATGATATATAATATTTATATATACAATATATAAATTACAAAATAATTTTTTAAAATTATATATATATATATTGTTTTTTGTTTATATAATATTATTAATTTGAATAATCAATAATATAACCGCCCAATTGATGGCTTTAATTTACATTGACTTAAATAACTAATACAACAATAAAATCGTTTAAACTATTTGTGTTTAACAGTTATAAACGTGTTTTCATATTATATTATATTTTAAAAACCATTGGAAACTTGTTTTTTTAGTTATATACTATAATATATTGTATAATACTATTTATTAATGCATTCATTTATTCATTCATAGACTTTCACTGTTACCACAGTTTCATTTGCAAAAAAATAAATATTACTGTTTCTCACTGAAAAATATTTCAACTTTTTTTCAATTCATGTTTTTTTATAAGTTTGGAAATATTTTTTTATGTATATATATACATACATCAAATATTTTTTCTCACCTAATGAATTGAAATATTAAACTAAATATTTTTTATTGTGCAAAAATCAAACGGTGGAAAAAATAATAAAATTGTGAAATTTTTTTTTACTAAATATTTTATAGAAATATAACACAAAAAAAATATTATACTATTACTTATATTTCTATATTAAGTATCATTATTATAACAACTACTACTCTACAAACTACTCCTACACTAGAAATATAATCCAAATTATGATAAATCCAAATAAATTGTTTGAAATATAAAAATCTGTGAATAATTATAGTGTTAAAGCGATTATTATTATTATTATTATATTCAAAACTCATGTGTGTTCACAGTATATTAAATATTCAAATTTGTTTTATTTGCTAATTTTTATCGTGACTTTATTTGGTTGTGTCTTATAATAAAGCGTTAATAATATTACAGTAAAAGAAAATAATATATTATTAATAATAATCATAATTATAGTGTTAATAATTAAAAATTTAATATAAAACTTTAATATAATAAAATATAATAGTTGTGCCTTCAAACTAACTGTCCATTTCTATAAAATAATGCCTACATTTAAGCCGATATTTACTGAACTGTTATCTCTATCGTATCCGTCGCTACCGTTCTTCCAGTTTATACCCGAAGGTGTAAATATTGGGACAGTTATATACATCGAGGGCTATGTTCCGCCTAATTGTTCAAAGTTTGCCATCGATTTGATCGATGGACAGGCCGTCGACGAGCGAACTTGGGAACAGGCGGACATACCCTATGGCTTATACTTTTTGTTTGATGATAGACTGGTAATCGGTAATACCAGACGTGATAGGGAATGGGGTCATCCACAGAAAGATAAATTTAATGCCATCAGTAAAGGTATGCTAATTGTATTATTTAAATATATATATATAACAATATAAGGTTTATATAAGATATTTCTATAATATTAAATAAATTTGTAATATTATTATTATTATATAAAACTTGTAATAATTTCCTTATTGTATCAGATATTTATTTATTTTTTTATTTTCTCAGTTATTTTATTTAAAAAAATATTTAATTTATCATTTTATTGTTATCGAAGTACTTTTGCATATGTATACTGTATTGCACAGAATAAATAATAATGTAATTATTTTATTATAATAATAACTATTATATTTGTATGTCATAAATATAGTTATGATTATGAAAACATGTCATTGTTATTATTATAAATATTATTAAAAGTTATTTATTATTTATAATAATTATAAATATTAACTCAATATTATATTATACGATATGTTGTTTAGGAGATAACTTTGAGATGAAGATTATAGTCGAGGAAAAGTATTATAAAGTGATAATGAATGGCAAAGTCATGCAATATCAGCACCGGATGGCTACCGATAGGGCAAAACTGTTGCGCATTGAGGGACAGGTAGTTATCAAACGTATTGAGTTCAGACACGGCAAACACTATCACAAAAGTCAACTCGACTTTTATTGATATATTTTAGTGGAAAAAAATTCAATAAAAATTACAAACTTTTATGACTCTCGAGTGAACAGCGATTTAAAAGACGGTTTCAAACAAAAAACTTATTTCTTTTATCACTCATTATTATCAATACTGCTGTTTATAATTACTATATTTTGTTGTTATCATTGATATATTATTTTTAATTATATTTATTCATTTGTTTTGACCGGTAATTACTATATTATTGAATAACAAAAAAAATATAAGAAATAATTTTCAAAATTTTGTTGTTTTTGTTATTGTTTTTGGTTTTGTTGTTTATATTATATATTTGAATAATAACCTATATGTTTAAAAATTAAAATTAATTATATTTTTCAAAAAATGCAAGTTTCCTTTAATATAATTTATTTTCTATTTATCATATAAATCGAGATTTATATATTTGTTATTCAAATTAAATAAATAAATCATTAATATGTAATAATAACATGTATTTAGTATATAATTATATGAGCATATGATAATTATTATTGACAATTTAAAAATTAAATAATCAATTTATTATAATGCGGTTGAATAATTTAAATAATTTAGTTTATATGTCATTGAACATTGTTTGGCTGAATTAACTTAAGGATAAATATKATATATATATATATATATATATATATATATATATATATACATTATATGCTATCATTATTTTTTAAACATTTTTTTGATTGTATAATATATTTATTTATAGTATGTTATATACAGATATTTTATATAAATTAATACTGTATATACATATTATTATATACAGTATTTAAAACAATACATTCATGTTTTGAAAYTAAATACTAAAAATATAAGATTAATTTATCATAAGTGCCAAATTTGGATATCAAATATATAGTTATAATATAATAATTAGTATTAAATTATATATTTAWACTAAAATTAAAAATAACAATATTTATTGGCACATACACACAAACATATTGATTATGTATTTAATAAATGTTAATTTTCAAGCTATAATTAAAATACAATTTACAATATTTTCAAAAAATATATAATTTTTGTTGTTRTTTAATAAGTTATAATACTATTATAGTATGTTTTTTTGACTAAAATCCTGATACATATAAATAAAATATGATTTTATTTGATTGACAAATTTTTATTTTATTTCCTAATATAAGTGACAATTTTATATTTGATAAATTTTTATGAAAAATTATCTGATATTATTTTATTTATTCATATTATTCATTGACACGAATTTAATAGTTTGCCATAAATTTTATAAAAAAATATTGTATATATTTTTTTAGATAATTTTTTTCTGTGAAATTGTCATTAATTCAGGACACTTACGGTGATCACACAAATATTATAGATAGAAACTAAKCTTTTATTTATAAAATTATTATTTCAAAATAAAATTATTTATACCAATTGTTATGTAATAATCATATTTATAGCTAGAATTTTTTATGAATAATTTTGAATCATTAGTATAATAAAAATCATATCAATTTTTGTATTTTAAATTATRGCTTACTAGTAGTATATATATATATATATATATATATGAATTGACATTWAAATAAAAATTACTATAATTTGRAAATTATAAGAAAATATTATTATCTAAAGGCACCCAAAAACCAATGACAGATGACTGAGCCGGACATTGATATCACAGCTAATAGTGATCGCATAATCAGACGTCTCCTATGAAAAAATCTGTACTTATAGTTGTCAACTAATAACAAAAATAAATAGACAAATAAATTTTGAATGATTCATATAATAAATATTCGTATAATAGATATATATATATATATATATATATATATATATATATATATATATATATATATTATTATATTTATATTACGAAATATGTATAGTATGAGTGTCACAATCCAAATGATACCGAAGAAAATGTTTGCCAAACATGTTATGTTAAGACACAGTTTGTTGTCGCCGTTGTCGGTATATATCAAAGCCAACACAAGCATAACAATGATGGTTATGATGATTGTGGTCAGACATACGGTAAATGTATATAAATCATTGTCAACGTTACCCGACAACAGTACTTTCAATGCATAGGACACACATATGCCGGAAATGGATCCGTTAAATATAAAGATAAACTGTTTTTTCAATATATCTAAACTCATTGTAGATTTTTTTTTTGATTTAATAAAATTAATTTATTCATACATTTGTTATTTTTTTAAATATAATATATATATATATATATATTATTAATACAGTACAAGTATTAATACAAGTGTAATATACAATATATACTATAAAATTTTTTATTTATTGTTGATCACAATTACAATATAATTTCAAATATATATGCAATAATAGTTACAATACATTCAAGTGTGCAATGTTTAATGCTTTCTCGTGATTAGTAAAAATAAAAGTTAATTTTAATATTTTGTTGAACAGATAGTATTCAAATATTAATTTAATATTTTTAATGATCCAAACTAATGAATAACTATTTTATTAAAATTAATAAATTTTATTTTCATTAATAAAAATTAATTATCTTAATTTATTACATATTAAAAATAAAAGTCTATGGTTACCATTTCATATACCTGTAATGCATTATCTTCTAATATCATGTATTTTAAAAATCTTTTTAAATCATAATTATAATAAAATTAAATGAATTAATACTTCATATCTTCTGAAATGATTTATAATAAATAGTTTTCAACAATAAAATCCAATTTTATGTTTAAATATTCGCTCCAATAGACCTGATAACTAAAATTATCATTTAATTATTATTAAATAATTTATTATTTTAATAGAAATAATTACTTTGAATTTGATATCGTTGAACATAATTGAATTAAATAATTTATTTGTAATAATTAGTTCATAATAGACATCATTTGTTATATGTATAGTAAACAATAATAAAATTATATAATATGATAGCAATATTTTACTAAATACTCTAATAAATGTTAACTGATCATGGTAAATTGTTAGCCATAGAAAACCCAGAAATTTACTCAAATACAAAACATTGATCTCAATCTAAATGTTATTCAATGAACGTATAAAATGTTTGATATAGCAATAATTTTTGGTTATATTAACATTTAGTACAATATTTATTATATGATTATTTAATGATAGCATTTTAATTGGCAAATAATTGCATATTTAAAAAATAATAACAGAGACTATGCTATTAATTACAATTAGCTGCTTAAGAATATGTTTGATTAAAAAGTGACCAAGGGCAAAGTTGTAGATAATTTAAAGTTAAATAAAATTGTTATTGGTCATTTTTTAATTAATTGTATGATTGGCCAGATAATTTAGTCGACTATTAAAAAATTTATAAATAATAGTCGACTGCAATTATCTAAGCAATCAAATCTTTACTATTTATATTTATTATTTATTACTTTAGTTCAATTAAACTAATAATTAATAATAAAAAAAATTGATTATGAGATTCAATATTTTAAATTCTAAAACATTGTTTTTAAATGTCAAAAATATAAGAAAAATTTTAATATTTGTTTAACCAATTATTTATAGAAAGATATAKACAGTATATATATATATAATATTATTGGTAATTCACACACAAAAAATAGTAATAAAAATAAATATGACTTTCAAACTTAAATTATATCTATTCATATTTGGCGGCCAACTCTTTAGCCGACACTAACCGCTTATTTTTAGCTATAATAACATCCAATTTTGTTAACCGTTCGCCTAATAAATACCGTTCGTATTGTGCGAGTTGTCGGATATAACCGGGATTTACAGCAATTACCGGACGATTGAATTTTACTAAATCAAAGGCCTTATCTAATGACAATCGTTGACTTTTCATCAGATAAGCTATGAAAATGATAATTAAATAATTGTTTTAATTGATTCAATAAAATTTTGTTTTCAATAACAAAATTTTACTATTAATATTGTCGGCACATACCTAACACTACAGTGACTGATCGGCTCCGACCAAACAAACAATGAACAACAGTATTGGTATTATTATTATTATCGACGAGTTCAGCAATTTTATCACTTAATTCATCAAAATATTTATACATATTTTCTTTGCCATTGTCAGCAACCTATCAATTAGTATYAATGTGATTAATATCAAAATAATAATTATTAGCTAACTAACCGGCACTCTAATAAAGGATATACCGTCCATCGCATAAACRGGTGTCTCATAAGTGACACTAACAATACATTTAATGCTATTATATTTGATATTTTCATTGGTAATACCGCCATAACCTGTTAGAAACAAGTGTTCAGCGATCTGTGAAAAGTCAATGAATGGACGACAATAGATATAGGCGTCCATCTTTGGTAATGTCTTTTTTAGCTCCTGTAGCTCTCGACTGGTAGATAATCGGTTAACTGTTTGCATATTAACACTGTGACCGCCCGATGTCTTAGTTAATTGTTGACCTTTTTCCAGACATCCCGGTTCTTGGGAATAGATAGGACCGATATCATCATTGGTAACACTATTGTCRCAACAACAACAACACAGACACCAACAACAACGCCAACACATAATTGTAACTTTAATTTCTATGTGTATGTTATTAACTAAATTTAACTGACAATTACATTAAATAATAAATTATCATTTTCTATATGARATATTTAAAAAAAACATTTTTATAACAATATATATTTYTACATTTAATACGTGCTAATGATKATCATGTATTAATTGCAATTAGTAGCGGCCATTTTGAAAATTTAATTTATTAAAATTTAAAAGCTCCATTTACTCAATTTTTATATTAATTTTTATTTGAATAAAATATATTTAGTAGTTTTAAAGTTATTGATATGTTTTTAATAATATATTGTTAACATTWTCATTAATAATTAATATACATAGTAAGTGTTAATGTGTATTAAKCATACAGTTTATAAATATTATTATCTAATGTATTTTTATTGAATATCTAATCTATTATGTCTGATATTATGATAATATATTTAACAATTATGTCTGATATGTATACAGTATTAWAATTGTATGTTTTTATAAACTTTTTCAATTATAAATATTAATGCAGATATTGAATTTAAAATAATAAATAAAATAAATATGTCATCAATTTGTTTAAACTTAAGTTGTTCATATTTATATTTATCTAAATAATTATTTGTATTACTCTCAAAATAAATACTAATATAATCGACAATATATTCCTTCCACTTGTTATACAAACCGGATTCACAGCTATTAGTGATTCTGGAAAATAATAAAAATAAAAAATATATTAAATATATAATAATAATGTTAATAATAAATAACTAGCTAAATTACAAACATTTTATCTAGATCATTTTTCATCCATGCTGCTTTACTTAACAATATTGGCAAAAAGTAACCCTCGTAATAACTGCCTGACTGTGAAACATGTATCTTATCAATAAAATTGGGTTCAATTGATTGATACATAAGATTCATATACTTTAAATGATAAGTCATAGTATCCTTATTTATGATGTATGCACTTTGACCCAATAATAATTTACCGATTAAATTGTAAATAAATGTTAAATTTCCATAATCTTTGTACATAAACTTATCGATACGTTTGCGAAAGTTGATGGCCATCGATGTGTTGGATGTGTACACAAATTGGTTCATAGCATCGGTGTCTTGAAGTACAATACGGGCGTCGGTTTGTTGGTATAAGTCCCACCACGAGTCAACTACCCTATCCTGCAATGTTATTACCAGTGATTCATATATTATATTGCATACAAACTTTGATAATACAAATACTGCTAATAACCAGACAGTTATGATTATCATATGAGAGACAGAAAATATTTTTGGTAATATTGATCTTTTATTTGGTGAATACAATGTTGTTGTTAAATCAAGATTAATATCAATTATATTTTTAATATTATTAATATAATTTTTAGATATTTGATAATATTTATGATGATTACTAAATACAATCACTGCAATTATCATTGTTGATAATAATGTTAATACTATGACATGAATTTGTAAATTTTCTGAAATATTCGAAACGGTTCCACTATATTGATTGACATATTTTCTATATGCAATAACACTTGTCATATAGTAATCAATAAATTTGGTGTAAGTATATGGTAGATTTAGTGATTTAAAATATTCATAAAATTCACCATGGCCAGTTGCTGACAGTACTATATCCGGTGCATTCATCAAAAATATTTTCACATTTTCCTCAGGACTTGTTGCAGGAGCTATAAATAATAATCTATAATAATAATAATTATAATCATTAATAATAATTAATTATAAACTTAATAATAATTTGTTTTCTTATATAAAAGTTGTTACTTTATATTGTAATATTTAGCAAAATTAACGATTAAATTAGCTAATGGACCACAAATAAAATATGTTATATTTTTATCCAATTGTGGTGTCGGTTGAAATACAACAAAAGGCATAGTAGTTAATGGTTGAAAAGTAATTGTCCTGTTTGTTAGTAAACTATTATCATAGTTGTCTATAACCGGATAATTTTGATTAGCCTCTATACATATTTTTGAATTCAACATGTTAATATTTATAATAAATACAGTATATATTTTTTTAATTTATGGCAAATAAAATAATATTTTTAAAAATTTATATTTATATAATAATTTATTATTATTCAATGCAATACTGCAATTGAAAAAATATTGATTATGTTTTTTTATAAATAATCTGTAATTACTACTTATTACAACATTTTTATAATCTTATATTGATAAAAGTTAATATCGTACATATGTATTTATAAAATAAATTAAATAATTATATAAATAATTTGCATATTAATGTTTTAGTACAATATTTCTTAATGCGGTATAATTTGTATCTGTATTATACTTTTCTATATAACTGTATATTTTATCGAAATACGATAACAAATAAAATACATAATTAATCATATTATTGAAAATTTATGTTATATTATTTACTAGTTTTGTAATAGATTATTATTTTATAGTTAATTCAAATTGTTTATTAGATTTTGATACAATTAATACAAATTAATGAAATATTTAATATCAACTAATGTAATAATTAAATAATTTTTTATTTATGTAAAATTTTTTAATAACATCTGTTATAACTTATAAGTTTTTTATATTATATATTAACAAAACAAATTAATAACTTATTTTATTATAAAAATGTTAATTATTGAATACTTATAAGTATTATATATATAGTAAATAAATAGTAAAAAATATAATTTATATAAAGTACTATATTTAATTACAGAATTTTGTGAAAACTGTGTTAAACATAAAAGTAATTTAAATAATAGTAAAATAACATTTTTTTGTAAATAACTAATCTTATTAAAGCATAATAATAAAGTAAATGTTATTTTAGATTATTTTTATACAGAATAAGTTTTTATAAATATTCAATTTAATATTTAATATTATTTTGTATGAATAATAATGTACAGTAATTACCGAATAATTTATATTTTATTAAATCAAGTATCATATGTATTATATTTGCATATCTGATTAAATTTTTCAATTATAAATATTAATGTAGATATTGAATTCAAAATAATTAATAATATAAATATGTCATGAATTTGTTTGAATGTAAGTTGATCATATTTACATTTATCTTGATATTTATTTTTATTACTATTAAAAAAATCACTAATATAATCGACAATATATTCCTTCCACTTGTTATACAAACCGGATTCACAGATATTAGTGATTCTGAAAAAATAATAAAAATTAATAAATAAAAATTATAATAATAATATACTAATGAATAACTATCATATATACAAAGATTACAAACATTTTATCTAGATCATTTTTTAACCATGATGCTTTACTTGATGATATTGCTATAAAGTAGCCCTCGTAATAACTTCCATAATTTGATACATATATATTATCGATAAAATTCAGTTCAATTGGTGCAACATATTTATGCAAATAGAGTAAATGAAAAATCATAGTATCCTTATTTTTAATGTATGCACTTTGACCCGATAACATTTGTAGGACTAAATTGTACATAAATGTCATATTTGCATAATCTGCATACTTAAACTCATCAATTCGTTTGCGAAAGTTGATGGCCATCGATGTGTCGGATGTGTACGCAAATTGGTTCATAGCATCGGTATCTTGAACTACAATACGGGCGTTGGTTTGTTGGTATAAGTCCAACCACGAGTCAACTACCCTATCCTGCAATGTTATTACCAATGATTCATATATTACATTGCATACAAACTTTGATAATACAAATACTGCTAATAACCAAACAGTTATTATTATCATATGAGAGACAGAAAATATTTTTGGTAATATTGATCTTTTATTTGGTGAATACAATATTGTTATTAAATCAAAATTAATATCAATTATACGTTTAATATTATTAATATAGTTTTTAGACATTTGATAATATTTATGATGCTTACTAAATACAATCACTGCAATTATCATTGTTGATAATAATGTTAATATTATGACATGAATTTGTAAATTTTCCGAAATATTCGAAACGGTTCCACTATATTGATTGGAATATTTTCTATATGCAATAACACTTGTCATATAGTAATCAATAAACTTTGTGTGTGTATACGATAGATTTGGTGATTGAAAATATGATTTAAATTCACCATGATCAAATGCCGATAATACTATGTCCGGTGGATTCATCAAAAATATTACGGCATTTTCATCCTGATTTGTTGGGGGTGGTATAAATAATAATCTATATAAAAATTATTTTAAAAAAATAATAATAGTAATATTAATTATAAATTTATAATTATATATWTAATATTATATCTAATTGTTACCTTATATTGAAATGTTTAGCAAAATTAATAAGTAGATTTGCTAATGGACCGCATATCAAATATGTTAAATCTTTATCCAATTGTGGTGTCGGTTGAAGTACAACAAATGGCATAGTAGTTAGTGATAGAAATTTAATGGTCCTATTTGTTAGTGTACTACTATTATTAAAGTTATCTATAACCGGATAATTTTGATTAGCTTGTATACATATTTTTGAATCCATTATTATATTTTGAATTTGAAAGTTTAACACTATTCTGATATCTATGACTAATAATAATAATATTATTATTATTTTCGTTTAATGTAATAATATTATATTATTATTCAATAAAATGATTGAAATAATATTGATTACTATGTTTTTACTGATATATCTATAATTACTGTTTGAAATTGCTATCATTTAAATATTAATAAATGTTAATATAGTGTAGTATGTGTTTTACAAAAAAATACTAAATAATTTGTATATTACTTAATTTGTTCAATAGTTATTAATAGAGTATACAGTTTATCTGTACTGAACTAATGACTATTGCTTTTATCGAAATACGATAAAAACTGAAATATATAATTTATCACATTATTGAAAATTTGTATTTTTTATATGAACAATTTTTATTGCATTTTTAAACGACAATTTTTCCCAAATTTGAGTAAATTCCCAATAAATTCCCAATAAATTCCCAATAAATTCCCACTAAATTTTGTTAAATTCCCACTAAATTCCCACTAAATTCCCATTAAATTCCCACTAAATTCCTACAAAATTCCCTATAAATTTACAGTAAATTCCCTATAAATTTACAGTAAATTCCCTATAAATTTACAGAAAATTCCCTAAAGATTCCCAATAGATTCCCAATAGATTCCCAATAAGTTCCCAGTAAATACTCAGTGAAATCCCAATTAATTATCATTAAATTCCCATTAAATTCCGTTTAAACTCCCATTAAATTCCCATTAAATTCCCATTAAATTCTTCATAAATTCTCACATAAATTTCTTAAAAAAGGAAAATATTCCAACTTAATTTCTTAAGACTCAAAATATATTTTCAATATTATTTTTACAATATTAAAAAATGAAATTTTACATAATATATATAAGATAAAAACAATTACTATAATTACTTGTCTACTATTTAATTAATTATTTACAATGTTGTTATTGTCAATGTTGATATACAAACCCGATTCATAGACATTAGTAATCCTAAATAAAATAATAATCATAAATTAATTCAAAAATATTAATAAAACTTAACAATACAGATATCAATATTTTATAGAAATAATTAAAATACAAACATTTTATCTAAATTAGATTTGATCCATGCTGATTTACTTAACGATATAGGCCTGATAATTACTTCCATATTTTGATTTGATGGCCATCGATGTATTGGATGTTTCAACAAATTTGTTCAAACCATCGCTGTCTACAACTGATATCCGGGCGTCGGTATGTATGTATAGGTCAGACCACGAATCTATGACCCTATCCGMCACTTTTATCACCAATGATTCGTAGATTATATTGCATACAAACTTTGATAATATAAATACTCCTAATAACCAAACAGTTATTGATATCATATGAGAAATGGAAAATATTTTTGGTAATATTGATCTACTATTTGGTGAAAACAATGTTGTTATCAAATCGAAATTAATATCAATTATACGTTTGATATTATTAAAATAGTTTTTAGATATTTGATAATATTTATGATGATTACTAAATACAATCATTGCGATAATGATTGATGATATTAATGTTAATATTATGACATGTATTTGTAAATTTTCTGAAATATTCGAAACGGTTCCACTATATTTATAGGAATATTTTCTATACGCAATAATACTGGTTAAGTCATAATCTATAATCTTGTTGTGTGTATATGGTAGATTTAGTGATTGAAAATATTCATAAAATTCACCATGGCCAGTTGCTGATAATACTATATCCGGTGCATTCATCAAAAATATTTTCACATTTTCCTCAGGACTTGTTGCAGGAGCTATAAATAATAATCTATAATAATAATAATTATAATCATTAATAATAATTAATTATAAATTTAATAATAATTTGTTTTTTTATATAAAAGTTGTTACTTTATATTGTAATATTTAGCAAAATTAACGATTAAATTAGCTAATGGACCACAAATAAAATATGTTATATTTTTATCCAATTGTGGTGTCGGTTGAAATACAACAAAAGGCATAGTAGTTAATGGTTGAAAAGTAATTGTCCTGTTTGTTAGTAAACTATTATCATAGTTGTCTATAACCGGATAATTTTGATTAGCTTCTATGCATATTTTTGATTGATTATACATTATAATATTTATAATAAATATATATTTTTTWWAAATTTATATTTATATAATTGTTTATTATTATACAATGCAATACTGCAATTGAAAAAATATTGATTGTTTTTTATAAATAAATCTGTAATTACTACTTATTACAACATTTTTATAATCTAATATTGATAAAAGTTAATATCGTACATATGTATTTATAAAAAAAATAATAACTATATAAATAATTTGCATATTAATGTTTTAGTACAATATTACTTAAAACGGTATAATTTGTATCTCTATTATACTGTACTATATAACTGTATATTTTATCGAAATACGATAACAAATAAAATACATAATTTATCACATTATTGAAAATTTATGTTATATTATTTTATAGTTATTCAAATTGTTTATTAAATTTTGATACAATTAATACAAATTAATGAAATATTTAATATCAACTAATGTAACCCCCTCCACCACTCATGATGACCCCTACCCAACACTTGATGGATTAATTTTATATATAATATGATAAATGTCAAAATATATATGTTTATTATAAATTTAATTAGTATTAATTAATAAATTTACAAATTTGATTTAATTAATTATTTATTTTATTTAAAAATTATATTTAATATTAAATAAATTTCTGCCGTTTTGATTAAAATTGTTAATATTTTGTTTTATATATAATACAGTTATACATTTTTTCTATTATATTATTATAAAATTATAATTAATATACAATATATATATTATTTATACAAATATAATGCAATATAMTTTTATTATTATTAAAAATTAATAATTTTATATTAAACTTATAATCAAATATATATTATATATATATATTTATTTATTATTCAGATACCTGCTTATATATACTAAAAATAAATAAATAAACTGTTTTTCTATTAATATTTACTCTATATTGTAGAGAGTATTATAATTTATAATAATAAATATCTATTAATCTTTTTTTCTTATCTCAATATATATCTTAATATTTATTAAAAATTAAAATCTAATAACAAAATTATAAAAACAACAATATAAGTGGTTAGCAATATATACAATATATTTAATAGTACAGTATATAAATAGCAAGTATTTAAAAATAAAATAAAAATTTATATTTATTTGAATTTATTTTTTTTAAATAATAGTTTTTTTTGAACTAAATAATTAATTCAAATAATACTAAATTATTATTATTAAAAAATTAGTAAATTCTATATTAAATTAATTATTATTATTATCGATTAGTTTATAACTTTTACAATGTCTTCACCATTACCACCACCACTACTACCCATACCTAATCAAATATATATATATATATATCTATTATTTAGATTCCTATTTATATATACTTTAAATAAACAAATAAACTGTTTTGCTATTAATATATAGAGACTATTATAATTTAAAATAATAAATATCTATTAATCTTTTTTCCTAATCTTAATATATATCTAAATATTTATTAAAAATTAAAATCTAATAACAAAATTATAAAAACAACAATATAAGTGGTTAGCAATATATACAATATATTTAATAGTACAGTATATAAATAGCAAGTATTTAAAAATAAAATAAAAATTTATATTTATTTGAATTTATTTTTTTTAAATAATAGTTTTTTTTTGAACTAAATAATTAATTCAAATAATACTAAATTATTATTATTAAAAAATTAGTAAATTCTATATTAAATTAATTATTATTATTATCGATTAGTTTATAACTTTTACAATGTCTTCACCATTACCACCACCACTACTACCCATACCTAATCAAATATATATATATATATATATATATATATATATCCTATTTATATATACTTTAAATAAACAAATAAACTGTTTTGCTATTAATATATAGAGACTATTATAATTTAAAATAATAAATATCTATTAATCTTTTTTCCTAATCTTAATATATATCTAAATATTTATTAAAAATTAAAATCTAATAACAAAATTATAAAAACAACAATATAAGTGGTTAGCAATATATACAATATATTTAATAGTACAKTATATAAATAGCAAGTATTTAAAAATAAAATAAAAATTTATTTGTTCAAATTTATTATTTTTTTGAAYAAAATAATAAATCCAAATAATACTAAATTATTATTTTAAAAAATTAATTAAGAAAATAATAAATTCTATAATAAATAAATTATTATCATTTTTATCATCAAATTGTTTATAACTTATAAATGTCTACACCATTACCACCACCACTACCTATACCTATACGGCTATACCACTGACCTATAGTGACAGTGATAACAACCAAACAAATCATCGACCAGTTGTCCATTAAATATATTAAAATAAAAATATGATTTTAAAAGTTATTATTAGCTTATRTTWAYATTAATTAATTTATACATTAATTATATGGTATATTTGACTATATATATATTATATATATATATATACTTATAATATATATATATATATATATATATCTATTATTTAGATTCCTATTTATATATACTTTAAATAAACAAATAAACTGTTTTGCTATTAATATATAGAGACTATTATAATTTAAAATAATAAATATCTATTAATCTTTTTTCCTAATCTTAATATATATCTAAATATTTATTAAAAATTAAAATCTAATAACAAAATTATAAAAAAAACACTAAGTGATTAGCAATATATACAATATATTTAATAGTACAGTATATAAATAGCAAGTATTTAAAAATAAAATAAAAATTAATATTTATTTGAATTTATTTTTTTTAAATAATAGTTTTTATTGAACTAAATAATTAATTCAAATAATACTAAATTATTATTATTAAAAAATTAGTAAATTCTATATTAAATTAATTATTATTATTATCGATTAGTTTATAACTTTTACAATGTCTTCACCATTACCACCACCACTACTACCCATACCTATACCACTGCCTACAGTGACAGCGATAACAACCAAACAAATTGTTGACCAGTTGTCCAGTGAACTCACGTGCGGTATATGTCTGGAAGTGGTCAACATTAGCGAACCGGTAGTTACACAGTGTTGTCGCCGACTGTATTGTCGTACATGTATTCAACAATGGCTTACAGGCAATACAGGTGGTGGTAGTGGTAATGGTAGTGGCAATGCTAGACGACAACAACCTTCTAGTAGATGTCCATTGGATAGACTGCCGCTAACTGTCCAACAGTTACTGCGGCCACCGCTGGCCATCACTAATATGCTAACAGTGCTAAACAATTACAGAAAACAGCAACTAATACAACAAACAATCATCGATTGCCGTAAATATGTTTATAAACCTTATATAAATATACTATATATATATATATAGCTAACATTAGAAATATTTAAAAATAAAAAAAAATTAGATTTAATAAAATTGAAGAAAAAATTTACTTAAATTTAAAATATTATTCAAATGTTAAATCTATTAATATTTATATAATAGTAATAATTATAATTTTGTTTATATTACTAATAAATAATAATAATAATATTAGTAAATAACATTTACAAATAATATTTACCTATTTTTAATGTGAAAATATTTAGATTATTTATCTATTATATTCAATATCAAAAAAATGATATATATATATATATATATATATATTAGTAAAATATAAACTCAATATTATATTTAAAAAAAAATATTTTTTAATATTAATTATTATTTCATATATTAATAATATTGAGTCAAATATAAAATATTAGTTTAGAAAAAACAGCACTCAGTGTATAAAATATTAATAAATTATTTAATACTTGTATTATAWATATATATATATATATATAAACAACTAAACTGTGAATATATTTTATTTTTTTTAAACCATAAAAACTCAATATTGAAATTATTTTTAAATTTTTGTTGTTGACTAATATAATCATTTATTTAAAATTTAGTAGATATTGAATACAARTTTAAATTAATAATTTGTTTTTCCCAATATATACATATATATATATATGCAAATTAAATCCATAATTTATATAACATTTAAAAAAAATTAACTTTAATATTAAAATTGCTTATAAATTTTGACTCATAATTTTAATTAAATTATTATCTATAAAATACTTATATATAAATAAACTAATAGTTTATAAAAAAAATTATTAATAAATGAGTTAATTAATTATTTTCCACATAAAACCTCTTAATATAAATAATATTTTCTAGAATTTACTTAACTATTTGCTATAATATATATATATATATATAATTCAATTATAATATAATTGAAAAAAAACTATTTAAAGACTTGCTATTTAATCAAATTTTGTTTTATTTAGTTTTTTTTGTAGCGACTCTCAGACTTAATATATTTTAATATTATTATTAATAATAAATATTATAAATTTGTTAAAAAACATTGAAATTAATTATGTAATATATAACTTATTTTTTGTTATTTTTGTTGTTAATTATATACTTATAATTAAATTAAATTATTAGATTTTTTTGTTTTTGTTTATTATTTTATTTTTTTAGCCCAAATGTTTGCTGCCATACATATCAGTCAAGTGGTCGACAATATGGACAATATGACTAAACAATCGTTAAAATGTTGTGCAAATAAAAGCCATTTGCTGGTCAACGGCTCGAAAGAGGCCACTTGTTGTGGTTCACGTATTTGCTATTCTTGTTGGTCACTGGCCGACACCGGATCTAACTGTCCTTCATGTAAGGCTACTTCTAACGGTTGGCGTGACATACATCCCGGTCTGCTAGCAATTGCAGAGAAACTAAGGATCCGGTGCGCAAACTATACTGACGACAACAACAGCACCTGTAATCAAGTGATAAAAGTCAAAGATTTAGCTAAACATTTCACAGACGTTTGTCCGCCGGCTTTACAGCAACAACAACAACGACCCGATTATGTATGTCGTGAATGTTCCGCCAAAATCACTGGCAATACTTTAGTCGGTAGCACTGCTAATGTTGGGCACAGTTGCCTGAAATTGCTAAATGCAAAGGTTGGCCAACTATTTGCATATCAAATCAGACTGACTGATGGCGTCAATACTGTAGCCAATAATATCAACAAATTGGTTGAGATTTTGAATAACATACCTGAGCTCGGCTCACATATTCGCGGTATGGATGAAATAGTTTTGTCGGAAAATTTAGTTGTCACTACCGATGATGATGATGACGGCGCCGACGACTCTACTAATGGTGGGACTACCGCTTCCGGCCAGTCCTTTGACACAACTAGTGTCACAACATTTAACTAAAGTTATTGGAAGTTATAGCGAAAAAACGGCCATTTAATAGTGGGTTAGTTGTAATTTATTAATTAAAGTATGTATAATATATATATATATATACTWTATATAAATTTTTTGTTATTAAAATCAATTATTTTTTTTGTCAAGGTTGTTTTTTAATTAACTATTTTTTTGAAAACAATTATTTATTTCTATAGTTTGGATACGATTTTATAGTTGGTTTTTATTTGGATAAAAATTTCTATTAGTTTGAATACGTCTATTATTATAGTTTGATTAACCCCCTCCACCCCTCATGATGACCCCTACCCAACACTTGATGGATTAATTTTATATATAATATCATAAATGTCAAAATATATATGTTTATTATAAATTTAATTAGTATTAATTAATAAATTTACAAATTTGATTTAATTAATTATTTATTTTATTTAAAAATTATATTTTATATTAAATAAATTTCTGCCGTTTTGATTAAAATTGTTAATATTTTGTTTTATATATATATATATATATATATAATATAGTTATACATTTAGCAATTTTTCTATTATATTATTATAAAATTATAATTAATATACAATATATATATTATTTATACAAATATAATGCAATATACTCTTATTATTATTATTATTAAAAATTATTATAAATTAATAATTTTATATTAAACTTATAATCAAATAATAATTAGATAATTTTTTATTTATGTAAATAACTAATCTTAATAAAGCAATATAATAGAGTAAATGTTATTTTTGATTATTTTTATACAGAATAAATTTTTATAAATTTTCAATTTAATATTTAATATTATTTTATATGAATAATAATATACAGTAATTACCGAATAATTTATATTTTATTAAATCAAGTTTCATATGTATTATATTTGCATAATATCTGATTAGATTTTTCAATTATAAATATTAATGTAGATATTGAATTCAAAATAATTAATAATATAAATATGTCATGAATTTGTTTGAATGTAAGTTGATCATATTTACATTTATCTAAATATTTATTTGCAGTGCTATCAAAATAATCACTAATCAAATCGACAATATATTCCTTCCACTTGTTATACAAACCCGATTCACAGATATTAGTGATTCTGAAAAATAATAAAAATAAATAAATAAATAATAATATACAAATGAATAACTATCATATATAAATTACAAACATTTTATCTAGATCATTTTTTAACCATGATGCTTTACTTGATGATATTGCTATAAAGTAGCCCTCGTAATAACTTCCATAATTTGATACATATATATTATCAATAAAATTCAGTTCAATTGGTGCAACATATTTATGCAAATAGAGTAAATGAAAAATCATAGTATCCTTATTTTTTATGTATGCACTTTGACCCGATAACATTTGTATGACTAAAGTGTACATAAATGTCAAATTTGCATAATCTGCATACTTATACTCATGAATACGTTTGCGAAAGTTGATGGCCATCGATGTGTCGGATGTGTACGCAAATTGGTTCATAGCATCGGTGTCTTGAACTACAATACGGGCGTCGGTTTGTTGGTATAAGTCCCACCACGAGTCAACTACCCTATCCTGTAATGTTATTACCAATGATTCATATATTACATTGCATACAAACTTTGATAATACAAATACTGCTAATAACCAGACAGTTATTATTATCATATGAGAGGCAGAAAATATTTTTGGTAATATTGATCTTTTATTTGGCGAATACAATATTGTTATTAAATCAAAATTAATATCAATTATACGTTTAATATTATTAATATAGTTTTTAGACATTTGATAATATTTATGATGCTTACTAAATACAATCACTGCAATTATCATTGTTGATAATAATGTTAATATTATGACATGAATTTGTAAATTTTCCGAAATATTCGAAACGGTTCCACTATATTGATTGGAATATTTTCTATATGCTATAACACTAGTCATATAGTAATCAATAAACTTTGTGTGTGTATACGATAGGTTTGGTGATTGAAAATATGATTTAAATTCACCATGATCAAATGCTGATAATACTATGTCCGGTGGATTCAGCGAAAATATTACGGCATTTTCATCCTGATTTGTTGGGGGTGGTATAAATAATAATCTATAAAAATTATTTTTAAAAAAAATAATACTAATAATATTAATTATAAATTAACAAATTAACAGATTTATACTTATATATAATATTATATCTAATTGTAACCTTATATTGAAATATTTAGCAAAATTAATTAGTAGATTTGCTAATGGACCGCATATCAAATATGTTAAATCTTTATCCAATTGTGGTGTCGGTTGAAGTACAACAAATGGCATAGTAGTTAGTGATAGAAATTTAATGGTCCTATTTGTTAGTGTACTACTATTATTAAAGTTATCAATAACCGGATAATTTTGATTAGCTTGTATACATATTTTTGAATCCATTATTATATTTTGAATTTGAAAGTTTTACACTATTCTGATATCTATGACTAATAATAATAATATTATTATTTTCGTTTAATGTAATAATATTATATTATTATTCAATAAAATGATTGAAATAATATTGATTACTATGTTTTTACTGATATATCTATAATTACTGTTTGAAATTGCTATCATTTAAATATTAATAAATATTAATATAGTATGTGTTTTTACAAAAAAAATATTAAATAATTTGTATATTACTTAATATTTTAGTTCAATAGTTATTAATAGAGTATACAGTTTATCTGTACTGAACTAATGACTATAGCTTTTATCGCTATTATAATTCAATAGAATATTTGTTATAATAATGATTATTATGTTTTTAAAAAATAAAAATTGAAAATATTCTAATAAATAGTTTTAATTCAAATATTATAGATTTTTTAGTACCAATAGTTATTTGTATTATACTGTATGAATGTAGCTTTTCTCAAAAACTAAAAAATAWAATTTATCAATTATCATTGTTTAATTTTTGAAAATTATATGTTTTTATTTATTAGTTTTGTAATAACTCGTGTGTTGATAATTATGATTTTTAGTACAATTAGTGAATTAATTAATAATAACATTTTARTAATAAAATATGAAAATTATTACTAGCATCTGTAATAATTATATTATTATKTATTAASCAKTTAAAAATATGCTATTTATATATATATATATTACAAAAATACAAATTCATTTCTAACAAWGAAATTATAATCAATCAATTTAACAACAATTGTGATAAAMATAACARAAATAAATATKATATTACTAAAAAATAATTTTTTTWAATACTAGTAATTTACAAAATATAGTAAYAKACAAAGTGTTATTAYAAAWTAATTTTTTCAWAATATAATTTTAYATGGATTYTCTATTAAATATTTWGTAACTTTATAATTACTAATAAAATWTAATWCWTAACAWATAATWTAAATWAATACTGATTTTTGTTRCATAAAATTAAATCTSATYTGTAMTATAWTTATATGCTAATTTATAAATTATTTCAAATATAAATATCTGTACACATATAAAATTTAAAATAATTAATAAAATAATTATATMATAAATTTGTTCAAATGTAAGTTTATCATATTGATATTTATCTAAATATTWATTTTTATTACTAATAATATCTTTAYTWATAAAATCAWACATATATTTATTCCACTTGAWATACAACCCGATTCATAGATATTAGTTATCCTTAAAAAAATAWTAATCATATTAATTCAAAAATATTAATAAAAGTTAACAAAATAKATTTTTTATAGAAATAATTWWAGTACAAACATTTTATCTAAATTAGATTTGATMCATGCTSCTTTAMTTAACGATATTGGCATAAAATAACCCTGATAATTACCTCCATATTTTGATATATGTATTTTATCSATAAAATTAGRATCAATTGYTTTRACCAACTTTTGAAAAAAGTGTAAATGATAAGTCATAGTATCTTTATTTTTTATGAACGCATTTACGATTAAATTTTGCAAAAATGTTATATTAWTATAATCTARAAAAGTCATCGATACRTTTGCKRAAGTTRATGGCCATCGATGTATTGGATGTTTCAGCAAATTTGTTCAAACCATCGCTGTCTACAACTGATATCCGGGCGTCGGTATGTCTGTATAGGTCAGACCACGAATCTATGACTTTATCCGACACTTTTATCAACAATGATTCGTAGACTATATTGCATACAAACTTTGATAATACAAATATTGCTAATAACCAAACAGTTATTGCTATCATATGAGAAAATATTTTTGGTAATATTGATCTACTACTGTATTTGGTGAAAACAATGTTGTTATTAAATCGAAATTAATATCAATTATACGTTTGATATTATTAAAATAGTTTTTAGATATTTGATAATATTTATGATAATTACTAAATACAATCATTGCAATAATGATTGTTGATATTATTGTTAATATTATGACATGAATTTGTAAATTTTCTGAAATATTCGAAACGGTTCCACTATATTGATTGGAATATTTTCTATACGCAATAACACTGGTTAAATCATAATCTATAATCTTGGTGTGTATATATGGTARATTTTTTTGTTCAATATATACTTTAAATTYATCATGCACAATTTGKGCCAAAATTATGTCCGGCAKTWTCATARCACTTTCATTACCAAWTRRTGGTATAAATAATAATCTAATAAATTTAATAAAAATAACAATCAATAATAATAATTTTTAATAAAAAWAAATTGTAAYCTTATTTTGTAATATTTAGCAAATTCAATTARYAAATTTATTAATGGYCCACATATCTKGTAGATTATATTTTTATCCAAYTGTRTTAGCGATCGTAATGTAAYAAATGGCATTTTACTYAATAYTTGAAATGTTAGGGTCATATTTGATATWARTTTTGTTGTATTATCATTATTATCTATCACTGGATAATTTCTATTGASATTTATACATATTTTTGRATCCATCATGCTARGTTTTACTAAACTTTAATGMTAAATTCAAAAAAAAAATTTTACTTATAAGTTTTAACATTAWWATTTTWATTATTTAATATTATWRTTAAATCAATTTTTAATATATATTATATTTTWAATTTATTTTTTWAAAACATAATAATCAATAYTATAGCTATTATAATTTTCTAGTAATATTATATAATAAAACTAATATTTAAAGTGATTTAAATCAAAATAATGTTGTTATTCAGAAAACATTTTCATTTATTCATTATTATAATTCATTATAATATTGATTATTATGTTTTWAAAAATAAATTTAAAATATAATATATATATTAAAAATTGTTTTAATTCTAATATTAAATAATTAAATTTTTATAGATTTTTAGTACCAATAGTTATTTGTATTATATAGCTTTTATCAAAATACAATAAAAACTAAAATTTATCAATTATTAATGTTTTATTATAGAAAATTAWGTGTTTTCATTTATTAGTTTTGTAATATAATTACTSGTATGTTGATAATTATGATTTTTAAAGTARTTTTTACTACATTTAGTACTTTAATGAATTATAAGTTAACAAATAATAATAACAATKTAATATAATTACATYAATCAAAGATATTTTATTATTAAYAATAAAAATATCTTTGATTATTATTCAAAATTATTACTAKCATMTGTTATAATTATWRTTAYTATATTTAAGATGTTATTTATTAAACAGTTAAAAATATGTTATTTATATATATAACMATAAATACAAATTCATTTCTAACAAAAATTTMTAAYGAATMAATTTAATAACAATTKTTWTWAACTTAACAAAAATATATACTGTATTATATCTATTAATAGTAGAATAAAATAATATTAAACTTATACWTTAAAAAATATARAGTAAGTGTTATTAGAAATTTTTTTTTTATAAAATAYAGATTTTAATGGATTTTCTATWAAATATTTAATAACATTATAATTAGTTAATAAAATTTAATRCATRACAAATAATATAATCTAATAATAATTTCTGTTTTATTAAATTAAATCTGATCTATACTATAATTGTATGMAAATTTATAAATTTTTTCAAWTATAAATATSATAACACATATAGAATTTAAAATAATAAATAAAATAATAATATCATGAATTAGTTTAAATGTAAGTTGATCATATTTATATTTATCAAGATAACCATTTTTATTACTACCCATRTATTCACTAATATAATCGACAATATATTCYTTCCACTTGTTATACAAACCGGTTTCATAGATATTAKTRATTCTGTAAAACAATATAATTTTCAAATTAATAATAAAATATTAATACAAATTAACAAAAATAAATATCAATATGTAWTTTTTTAAAAAAATCTAGTATAAACATTTTATCCATATTATTTTTGATSMATGYTGCTTTATTCAACAATATTGGAAAAAAGTAGCCCTTGTAATAACMTCCATAGTTTGAAATATGYATTTTWTCCATAAAAKTAGGATCAATAGTTTTRGCTAATATTTGTAAATAATGTAAATGATAAGTCATAGTAGCTTTATTTACAACRTATGCACTTTGACCCGATAACATTTGTATAATTAAATTTGTCATWAATKTTATATTAGCATAACYTRGAAAASTAAATTCATCGATACGTTTGCGAAARTTWATRGCCATCGATGTATTGGATGTTTGCGCAAATTTGTTAAAACCATCGCTGTATAAAACTGATATGCGGGCGTCGGTATGTATGTATAGGTCAGACCACGAATCTATGACCCTATCCGCCACTTTTATAACCAATGATTCGTAAATTATATTGCATACAAACTTTGATAATATAAATACTCCTAATAACCAAACAGTTATTGTTATCATATAAGAAATGGAAAATATTTTTGGGAATATTGATCTAATATTTGGTGAAAACAATGTTGTTATCAAATCGAAATTAATATCAATTATACTTTTGATAATATTAATATAGATTTTAGACATTTGATAATATTTATAATGATTACTAAATACAATCACTGCAATAATGATTGATGATATTAATGTTAATATTAYGACATGAATTTGTAAATTTTCTGAAATATTCGAAACGGTTCCACTATATTGATAGGAATATTTTCTATATGCAATAACACTGGTTAAATCATAATCKATAATTTTKGTGTGTGTATATGGTAGATTGTTTTGTTCAACATATATTTTAAATTCATCATGGTCAACTTGGGTCAAAATTATATCCGGCTGATTCATCATTAATTTAAAGACAAATTGATCATCATTTASTGCAGGAGATTCTCTAAATAACAGTCTATAAATTWAATARTTAATAATAGTAWTATTKAATATAATTATTTTTTAAWTAAAAATTRWAACCTGAWTTTGTAATATTTAGCAAATTCAATTAGTAAATTTATTAATGGCCCACATATCCGATAGGTTSTATTTTTATCTACCTGTCCTATGGCWTGTTGTCCAATAAAAGGAATTTTAATYAATACAAGAAATGTTAGGTTYATATTTGATGTTAATGTTGTTGTATTRAYATAATTATCTATCACTGGGTAATTTCTATTGGCTTTTATACATATTTTTGAATCCATCATGCTAAGTTTATTTTTAGTAAAATTTTTATKCTAAATGAATAACTGMATTATTTTTAAATGTTTWATATAAWAGCTATTATTATTATTATTATACTTAATAATAATATAATTATATTAATAGTATATATTAATAAATCAAATGATGCTAAATCACTTAAATAASAATTTTTRCATTAAGTTATAGTAACAAAAATATATATATCCTTATATAAATTAAGTAYAAAATATTTTTTTATTCTATAATAACATTTTATAAAATAAAAATAAGTTATTTTTAAATTCAAATTTCAAAATTATAAAAAATGTCARTAAAATAWWTTTTTTAATATGCCATTTAAAAGTTAGATATTTAGATTATAKAAACWATTATATAAAAAAATATTTTGTTTTAACATTAAAAACTATTAATATAATCRTATTATTATTCATTATAATAATTGTAATAATATTGATTATMATRTTATTTTTATATTCAATAGATTAAAACTATTAAATTTCTATTAAAAATTRTCTTAATTTTAATTATTAACTAATTAAATTTATATAGATAAWTTGTTTATTAGTATATTTGTATAKCTWTTTAATAAAATARTTTTTGTATATTATTTACTGTATGACTGTAGCTTTTAATCAAAATACAATAAATACTWMAAAMTAAAATTTATCATATTATTGATCTGTTATTTACTATAATTTTGTTGTAAAAATAATTATTTGTTTGCATTTAATTTTGATTGTTTATCATTAGTTTAGTACAAATTAAGTTATATTGTAATYATAGACTTTTTAATTGACAAACTTTACGAGTGATACAATTATTTTATTTTAAGTCAATCATTGATTACAAAGCARTTAATTAAGTGTTGTTATTATCATCAAATGATACCRTAGCTCATCATTACAKCAATATTACTACTATCACTACTARTACTTCCACACATACAAAACACATGTCTTCATCGCTATCTTATAATCCAATCTTACARAAGGCCACCACTGGTGTYGTGGATCTGTTGGCCGGATCGGTCGGTAATTGCATTTATTTATTTTTTTGTCAATTTATGTTATTTTATTYAAAACTAAAAACCTAATGATAAAAATGATTTTGTATTTTGTTGACTATCGGTGCTAATCAAAGGCAGGCGGTGTGGCCAACGTATTGGTCGGTCARCCGTTTGACACAATCAATGTAAAAATGCAAACATTTCCGCATTTGTATCACAATGTCATYGACTGTATTAAGCAAACCGTCACCAATGTTGGTCTYCATTTGATTTAATTGTCTTTAATATTGATTGCCGTAATTTGGATATCATTTATAGGATGGTTTGCGTGGACTATACGCMGGAACTACACCTGCATTGGCCGCAAAAGTKTSCGAAAATTCTGTACTATTTTGTGCCTACGGTTTATGTCAGCAAACAGTGTGTTATATGAGACAAACAAMTAGTTGTCAACCAATTGATAACGCATTCTCTGGTATTGTTTTATTAATTGTTTTGAAAACTAATTGTTTTTATTTATWTATTTTTTATTTAATTTRAATTTAAGGTTTTTTTGCCGGWTTTTTCTCGTCGTTTACATTATGTCCGACAGAACTCATCAAAGTTAAACTACAGGCGCTAAGAGAGACTGGAGTTAATACAAATATGTATGTATTGGCAGATAAAATAAAAATATTTATATATATTATATTATAATATTTTTTTTGTCCAATTTTCTCAAATCAAATCAGTGGACCAATTCAGATGACTCGACAAATACTACACGAAGAAGGAGTTCCCGGTTTGTTCAGAGGTCTGACCTCAACGATGACAAGAGAAATGCCGGGATATTTCTTTTTCTTCGGTGGCTATGAATTGGCAAAAAGTTATCTACAAAAAGATTCAGAAGAAGAAAATTTAGGTAAAAATTTTTAGTAAAAAATAGTTTTGTTTTATTTTTAGTTTTATAATTGSTATTCATTTTTTTTTATTTGAAGGATTATTGCAGACGATAATTGCCGGCGGTTTTGCGGGAATATGTTTGTGGACAACAATCTATCCGATCGATGTCGTRAAGTCGCGCATTCAAATCGGTTCCAGACCTCAGTCAATGACCGCTGAGTTTTTCAAAATTGTCTGGACGTTAGGCATACGTGGCCTTTATAATGGACTGACACCTACACTGTTGCGTACATTTCCGTCAACGGCTGTCATGTTTGTTGCCTATGAATACTCTAAAGATTTTTTGATWAAAGTAGTCGACAAAACATTTTAAACATTTGATTTTTTATTTATTTTTTAATTACCGTAAGTTAACWTTATTAGTATTACCCTTAAWAGTAAATAATAAATTATTGTGATAATATTTAAAATATTTTTTTTTAAAAATKCTTATTTTATTATTATCAAATTTTCGTGAAACAATGTGTCTAAAAAAATAGATATAATAAATTTTAATAGTTTTTTATATCAACTATATTGTGTCTTTACATTGATATAATTTTAATTATCTAATTAATTAATAGTCAAATAGTGTAAAATTAAATACATAACTATTATATTATAAACATTTTCTAAAATAAAAATGTTTAARCAGATAGCGTTTAGAATTAAATAAAATATAAATATRTCGTCAATATGTGAAAATTGAAGTTGCTCAAATTTATATTTATCATAATGATAGTGATAATTTAGTTGAGTTATTTTACTAATTTTATCAATATAATCTATTGAAAATTTAAACCATTTGCTGTATATACCCGAYTCGTAAAGTTTTGTAATTCTAAAAATATTTTTTWWAAAAATTATTAATTAATAAAAACAAAATTTGAGTTAAAATAATTAATTTCATACATGATATCAAAATTAGATTTAATATGATCTTGGACATTTATTGATAATAGCAAAAAATAACCCTCATCATATCCGCCATATTGTGAAATATGTATCATATTTAGAAATTCAAGTTCACTTATATTTATTAGATATGCAAAATATGTTAAATAATATAGAATAGTGTGTTTATTTTTGACCAAGGCAYATTTGCCATCTAACAAATTGATTGCTAACGATYTTTTAAATGTATTATTTACTAAATGTTCTAGATCATATTCATCGATTCGCATTTTAAAATTATTAGCCATTGATGTGTTGGATGTTTTTGAAAACTTTATTATCGGATCGGTGTCGACGACARCWATACGGGCATCGGTTTGTTCGTACAAATCCATCCACGAGTTCACCACTTTATCCGGCATTTTCACTATCATTGACTCGTATATGATATTACATACAAATTTTGATAATAGCATTGCAATCATTGACCAAAATAATATTATTATTAAATATGAATAATTAATATTTGTTGTAATGCTTAATGGCTTATAAGTCGAAAACAAAGTTAACAAATTGTTTAAACTCAATTTAATTATCATTTTTATACAATAGTATAATTTGGCTGCAATTGTCTTATCATTACTACTACTACTACCGTGTTTTAACATTTTACTTAAATACATTATAACTGAGATAATAATTATTAATAATAACAATACAAYTAAAGCATCGACACCTAAATTTAAAACTATATGCCAAATGGTTTGGTCGGACACATGTGAATATTTACGATAAGCAATAATACTCGTTAGATCGTAATCAATATATTTAGTYGGTTTGAATAAATATTGTAACCCTTGACCTGCTGCCAATTTATGTTGATTGACATGGGCTAATACGACATCCGGATAATTGCCCATGCTCCATTTTTCAAACATCTCATTTCTCGATGAAAGAGGTGGCATTAATACTAATCTATAGATAATTTATTATTAAAAAATAAAATAAAATACATATAAATAAAAATACATAAATTTTGAAATTCTGCAAAAAAAAGTTTCAAATAATAATTACTTTATCTTATAATGTTTAACAAATTCAACCAGCAACATTATAAGCGGACCACAAATAGTGAATGTTTGATTAGTATTAAATGAAWKTAGTKKATKAAYTATTAGAAATGGTACAGTGTAAAATGGTTGAAATGTTAATGTTGAATTTGTTGTTTGATTAGCATGGTCATTTAKCACTGGATAATTTTGAGTTGCATTAATACAAATTTTTGATTCATACATTTTAAGTGCAAGTAAATCGCAACAACATATAACATAAAACAATAGAGTAAAACATTAAATACTATTGTATTGTTTTTGAATAATCTATGGTTTTATATATATAATAAACATTAATGTATAWGYTTTAGATAAATAAAAACAAAAGTTTTTTTCTATGTCAAAATAATWAATTATGTAAATATAATAATTATGAAAAATTGTTTATTGATATTTTTTTGTAACATAAATAGACAGTTAAATTCTAATTTTATCAATTAATGTTAGACTACTAARTTMACATTTTAATAARKTGACTGTACAGTAGAGGAGCAAACCGGAACCTAACCGAACCGCAACCGAAACAAAACTTAAAAATCAGAAAAACTAGAACCGAAAYCAAACCATAATTGAAAMCCAKRTGMCGAATAAAATCAAACCCGRACCGTAATTTCAKGCATAAATTACGTCACGATTATTTAAGGTAACAAAAAAGGGGGTWTTATTTTTKAAATTTTATTTTCGTAATATTATGTTTATTTGTTATATTATAAAAAATATGGTAATAATGAAAATATTATAAATTATAGCTATCAGTARTAGTTTATTATAAATAGCTAAACATAGGAACCGCAAATCAAACCGRAGCTGAAACTCAGGATCWRAATACAAAAATCAAAATTTCGGTTYCGGTTTTATGAAACCGAGTCGTTTCGGTTCCTYCCTCTACTGTACAATATATTGATATATTGAGCTATGACCTAGATTATTATTTTTATGTAACAAAAACTTTAGTGTTATTATTGAAAATAAATATAAAAAAATAATTTATTGAATTTTTATTTAAGATCAKTTTATTTCTYAACAATTATAACTAGTAATCAAAATAATATAATTTAGTTTATTATTTACAAAATAAATAAGYAATAAATAACTTTAGAGTTTGTTAWGMTYCCWAAGGGARGKAAATTCCCTAATAAAATCCCTCCAATTTTCYCGAAAAATATGAAAATACTTTTATTAAWRGTATAWTTTWAAAAATAAATWTAATRATRTYACYTATAAATAAWTTTWTAATAAYAAAATACATGTACTGTAATATATAATTCATGTATAAATCAATTGCAAAATATTTTGTAAAAATTTAATTATTAATATAATATAAATCTGCAAAATATAAAAACAAAATTTAATTTTAAAATGCAAATTTCAAAATAATAATAATACTTTTAGTAAAATACATTAAAAATACTCTATATAATATATTCTATATATCATTTTATAGTAAGATATTTTCATTCACATCAGATAAGCTCAGCGTTAGCGAAGCTAGGGAAACGCTAGAGGTCGACCGAAGGTCGACCGACGCGTATCCCAGTAAAATATGTGTCGAAATTACCTGCAAAGGGTCCGGGATTTTGATGTATACGAGGTTTCTCTACGGGATCGTTTAGAGGATGAAAAATGATTAAAAAAATCCCTGTTGAAAAATTGCTCATTAACGAAGAAAGTGGTCAAAATGGCGGAAAACTAAAATTTTTTTAAAAATCATAACTTTTTAACGGTGATAGATAAAAATATGGTTTCTTTTCTATAATATTTTTATCAATACATATTATAATATATATTAACAACAATTTTCTAACCTATAAGGAAATTAGGTTAATACTCGAAAAAGTGACATTCTCAAAAACTTAAAAATTGAAAATTGGCCATAACTCAGTCAAAAACAGACTTATATTGTTCTAATTACCTGAGCCTATAAATGACATCAATTGTGATTTTTAGAGACCATTTTCAGATTTTTAGCAACACCTGGTGATTTTTGGCAAAAGGTTTAATTTGAAATCTTAGATTCCAGATATCTCGTGAATCTTATGTCCGATCGATATGGGACTAGCAATGAAAAATCAAGCAACTAAAGTCAATTAATATTCATGTCCAAATGACTTGATCACGTGACCAAAAGTGACCAAATTTCGGTACCCGAAGATAAAAAATTGTATACCGAAAGTGGTCAGTAATAAAAATCTAGAAAAATAATAGTTAAATAGAAGACATAATTTGCTACAAATTTGCAATTAACCAAATTCGGCTAAGTTGTCATCTTCGGGTAATTATGGGAATCTGAAGAAATAAATGTACAGAATTTTTAGTGTGACAATTGTATTAAATACATGTATTTGTCAGTAAGTAACGGTAAAACGGTAAGTAGTGGCCAATCGTTTCAGTACCGCATACTTAAAAGCTATCTTCTCCTGAAGTTTGGTCCCGATCGATGTCCATCTTCGGGTTCAAATCTCCGAAAAATCTTTATTAACACATACATTAAAAACAAATACAATACAATGCAATGTTGTAATCAAGGGACGGGCTATATTGACCCGAAAACATTAATATAGATAATAATGTCCAACAGAAAACTTGTTGGCCATCCAAATACTGTCCATAATATGTTGGTACGGATGTTGTCCGATGTCCGCAACCCGAGTTATACCGACTTGCCAAGTTATACCGTCCTGCCGATCCGATGGCTGTCCAAATGTTTTAATTGGCTGATTAGTTGGCTAACCAATAGCCAATCATTCACTTCCAATCTTGAATTCGGGCGATTAACCTGTACCGAGTTATCGTCAATTTTTTTTCGGCGGCAAAGCATATGAATCGGTAGATGTTGTCTTTGCGGCCCAGGTAGTGGCCACAGTGTCATGACATATCTGGTCAGTACCGCACACCTATTTGAAACCTCATATTGAAAATTCATTCCAATCGATGATCATTTTCCGGTCAAAATTACCGAAATACCGTTTCTCCTATACATAATAGAAAATACTGTATTAATATCACTAAACTGGTCAGTTTGACCCGAAGACATGTTTGTAGACAATTATTTTCAATAGACAACTTGTTTGCCATCTGAATACAAACAATAATATGATAATACGATTGTTGTCCGATGTCCGCTACCCGAGTTATAACGGCCCGAAAGTAAATATTCGGGAGCTAATGGCCGGTAAAAATGATGAAAAAAAACCCGCTGTAGAAAAATCTCTCATTAATGAAGAAAGTGGTCAAAATAGCGGAAAACTGAAAAAATTAAAAAATATCATAACATTTTAACGGTGATAGATAAAAATATGGAACCTTGAAAATAATATATGTAGCAATA